GATGTATACGATTAAGCTCTGATGCTACTTGCTATTCTGTTCTTATTATGAACATTTCTTGCCATCGCTAAAATGCTCTGGGGCGTCCGTTTTGAGGCCAGTAATCAAACCGGTCCCCCTTTTCGAATTGTCTTAAAATGTTGAACATTGTAATATTCTTTATTACCGCAATCTTCCTTATTCTTGTATATACCTATTGTTCCCTTGGCGCGATAAATTACCATGACGTGCCGCATTTCAAAGAAACGGTTCGTGCCACACCGATCCACCTTCTTCGGTTCTCATAACTGATGATTCATAGAAACATTTGCCAGCATAGTGGAGTTCGTATACTTATCTTTCGAAAATGAGAAATTCAAAAATACTGTAGTAGTTAATTCATGTCCCAATAATTATGTTGAAGTTCGATTGTGGTGTGTAAATGTAAAACAGTTCGTAACGCATATTCTTGTATCCGTGTAGATTTGTCCTTGTGCTTTCAGCCCTCAAAGTTATTAATTCACATTTTCCTGTAAATTATCTAAAACTCTAAATGATCAATTCACGTTAGGCCTTTTTAGTGCCATGCTGCGTAGGAACTACGGATGTGTAGTTTCAGTATCTACTTTCTCGCATTATTTGAAACTTTCGGAATATTCGGTTATTCCGATTAAGGAGTTTAACTAAAACATTTGAAGCCAGGTTTGAAAACATTTTTAAAATGTTGATATTTCATGTAAAGTACCTCCCAAAATTAAAATATCCATTTCAATCTCGGAGGGCGATGAGTTCGTCGAGATCGATTGAGGAATATCAACTTTCCTAAAAATCGTCTGAACAGTTAGGAGCGTTAGGTGCTAGCGTTGACCACAGACATGGATGGACAGACGGACGTTTTGTCGTCAACCAACGTTTCAGTATTAAGGACCCACAAAACGTGGATTCTGACTACAAATCGTGTTAGACAAAATAACTTACTAACTACATTAGGATTACGATTTATCCACTTTTTCAATATTAGGGGACCATAATACGAGTTTTTCTGTCAAAAAAATCACCCATTTTGCCGTATCATTACAATACTTTCTCTTTACCCCATAAGTACGGCATAAGGCGGGAAAGTAAAAAGTGGTTTAACAGCTTTGTGAGATAGGCCCCACCGACACAACCGTTCAATTTATATGTATGATCACATTTCCTTTCATTTACACAAAATAACTAGTGGTGCTACAAACTGGCACACACTATCTCGTACTAGTTAGTTCCCTCTTCTCTTGACAAGGTTTTCGGACTTACTCTACCCTATTCTGTCGCGCATAAAAGACGTAACAGGGTCCCTCGCGCTATCTACTTCTCTGGGGACATTCTCAGTGAAGAGCACTTTCGCGCTACCCAAGCATCCCACACGTCTATTTCTGTTCTATTTGGTGATTGTGACATTGTTTCCCTCAACCTGATGGTCCCACCACCATTCCCAACATCACCCCAGCCGCGACAAGATTTAAGTTTCCGATAAGTCTCCCGGCATGTGGAGTGCATGTTAGTGTAAGTGTGTAAGGGGTGATGATGGGATAAGGAAGAGGAAGGAATGAACGCGCGCGGTACATGGCCCGTTTGTAAGGGTACTACTCCGGCATTAGCCTGGCGTTGATCGGAGAAACCACGGAAAACTATCGATCAGAGCAACCGGCCTCCTCCAGACAACGACTGAATTCGACCTAGTTGGCAAGCTAGTTGGTGTCGAAAATCTTGTCATCGCACCTACTAGGACCTCCCGGTCAGAGGCACTGCGGTGACATTAGCTGATGCACTAAGCTACCTCTCCCGGTGATTCTCGGTCGAGGCAAAAGCAGAGCTGTAGCTTTCCTTTAAAATCTTCCCAGTTTCTGTAGCTGTGTGACGAAGAAAAGCTCAGGCAGGGGGAGTTTGCTAGTCACGGTGAAGATAACACGTCCTGCTCGCTACATGCCGCTCTTACCCCCAAATGCATGGGGATTTACCAAGGCCCAAGCATGGGGGACACCGTTAGGTGGTCGGGAAAGTCGGACTCTCGACCCCAAATGCCAATTACATGTATCCCAAATTCATACTAAGTCTGTAGCATTTAAACTAAATCTGTGGCTGCAACTAAATTTATAGCATTTAATCTATTTTCATGAATTCGACACTCCTTTTCATAGCAACAATGCAAACAAAGTTACTTAACAGCATTCAAATCAAACAACATAGCGCACAGTAATTAACAACTTACAAAAAATTAACGAACTCTACAAAAAATGCTCAAGTTGGTAATATTTACAGCACATATCAGTTAACACAATGTATTGTTTACTACCATGTAATATTTATGCGGAGGGAATCATGCTTTGTCAAAAAACACATTAATTTTTTCACTTTTCTAATTTTTTGCCTCCTAATAGTGGAATTGAAATATGATTTTAAGCATATTATACAATAGAAAACCGCTTCTATATGTAATTTTCAATGAAACATTTGGAGCTGTTTTGTAGAAAATGTTTCTTAAAATGAGCTCATTTTTTCAGAAAAGTTTAGAGATTTCGAGAAACTTCACTAGAAATCATTTGAAGCACATGTATTCACAAACGTCAAAATGCGTAAAAAAACGCTCGTAATAAAAACATTAACAACGCGAGAGAGGCTTAAAAAGTACTTTGTGTATTTTTTTGAAAAATCAAAAGACTATATCAAAATGCCATGTTATTCAGGGCATTTCGCACTCTCCGTACAAAAAGTTAAAAGAAAACAATTTGGAACAGTTTTATGAGAAAATATTGTTTTTAATATTGCTCATATTTCCCTCTTACTTTACTCTTACACTTAACTTACGCAAAATCTACTAATGTATGTAAAGTAAATAACCAGTGTACCTGGCATAAATTAAATACATAACTGTGAAGCACAAATTTACCTGAAGAACAAATATCTACCTTCAATAGTCTTCAGTAGTACAAGAGCGTTCAAAAAATGTCAAACTTTTGAATTTTTCGAATTTTCAGTGGAAACAGTGATTATTGGATCTGTCATCGTTATAAGTTTGTTTTCTGAATTCTTATGTTTTTTTTTTTAATTGAGCTATTTTTGAAGAAAGGAAAAAAGAATATGTCCCAGAGGCTGCATGTTAAGTGTCCTTAAAATACCAGAATCTCTTTCAAAATCGCAGAGCATCGATTAGCGCCAAAACGTTTAGGAAAAAAATTTATTGAAAAAATTGCATGTGTTGTTCACAGGCTGATTGATGAACGTTTAAAAAAGCAAAACATTTTTCGGTATCAGAGGACACCCAACAACGTGCATATCCGATAAAATCTCGAAATCTATTTTCCTTAGCAGTACACAACTTTCTCTACTACTTACATTACTCCGTATGTATACGAGAAAGTAGCATTTAGTAAGTGCCCGTCTCAACATTTTTGCAGTGAGCCTCTATATATAAATCCGGCATATTACTACACAGGATGAACTGAAGCAATATGTTAAACATACGTTTTATTTAGAACGGTCATTTGTGCTACATAGTAAATCATCGAGGAACGAATCATGTTGCGTGACTCCTGGGCACTCCATCAACGGTACCCTCCCATTTAAACATAGGCATTTACTCAACGGAACATGGTCTCACTTTTGCGTTTCTGGCACGGAGGCCGCTATTACATGTTCAGAGGAGAATCCACACGAAGGAATACATTTCTGACACGATCGATTACGAAATATTTCCGATTTACGAAACCGCAAATGCAGGGTCCATCACGATTTTCACTTCCTCGCATACTATTTATATAGTATAGAAAAAGTATAGTAAAACTGCGGCAAAAACGGCGATAATTCGACAAAAACTCATATTGTGGGGCCCTGATACCGATAAACTAGACGAGTCTTACACCAAAGCGTAGTAAATTACTTCCTTTCACATTGTATCGCCATATCAATAAACGCATTTAATAGTAATAATAATAATATAATAATTATTATTATAATTATTACATATTATAATTATATATAATATATTCATATATTATTATTATTATTATCACTGTATAATCAGAGTCCACATTTTTTTGGTACGTAAGTAGTACGCGAGAAAGTAAGCGTGGAGCAATTTTTTGAGAAAATGTTTTGAAATTTCCCATATTTCGTTCACAGAATTAGCGAAAACTACAAATATTTTTAACAAAAAAAGTGACATTAATTAATCAACATGTTGTGGATAATACATTTTATTTGAAGAAAAATCTCTATCTTTAATATTATAGTCGAGCGAAGGAATTCAAAAAAAATGTCAAATTGTGGCAATTTTTTAACATTCAGAGTCAACAGTGAAAATTCAACGTATACAATATTCACTGAATTTTTACAAGATTTAAAAAAAAAAATAGTGCCATTTTTGATAAAATTTTGAAAATGTCCCAGGGGCTTCATGTTATGAACCCCCAAAATTTAAAGATGTTTTTCAAAATCGCAAAAGCTTCGAGGCGGGCCAGATCGATCGGCAAAAATTCACTTTGGTAAAAATTCTGCGAACGGTATAGGCGCTTGTGTTCTTCAGAGATTGATAGACGTTTTGAAAAAGAAAGGGGGGGAAATTCAATAACGGGAGACCCCAAAACACGTATTTCTGTTAAAATCTCGACATCAGTTCTCCGCAGCATTACATATCTTTTTCTAAATGTGTTATGTATATTATTCCGTGTTTTAAAATGTTCCGTGAACTTTGAGGAAGTAAAAAAAATAAAAGTATTTTGAGATTTTTCTCACTCACCATATCATTGTAAACGTCATGGGCATCAACTCTTTTAAGATTGAATAACTGGTTATTTTTCAGCAATACTTCAGGGAGCTGAGAAGTTTTAAGCATCTCAGTTTTTGAAGAAGGCATTGTCTGTAATATTGTTATAAATCAATATCAAATTCTTAATTTTAAATCTCTGAAGCATGCACTGTCTGTAACAATGTAATAAATCAATATTATTTCCATAATTTTAAACAGCATTCTAAAGCCTTACCTTTGGATTTGGAAAAATTGTAGTACATATTTTTTTAGAACATACTGCAGTAAATTGTTCTGAATGTGCCTCGACATTCAATGTATTTTTAGAATTACAAGTAGTTTTATCATATGACAAAGATAACTCATAATCTTTAATTTGTTCTCTTTTGTTAATGTTATCAGCTGAAAAATATTTCTTCCCAATTAATTGTTCCTTATTCTTGGTTTGATCCCAAATTGATAGAGAAAATGGGTATGATGCAGCAGGACATTGTTGAGAAATGTTCAAGTCACATGAATTATAACTGCAAGGTGACTGACTAGCAGCATCAGTGTTTGACATTTGAACAGATAACCTTGAATTTGGAGTCATCAAACTTATGTTTCTGCTGCACGTTATTTGTGAAGAAAGATCAAGAAATACATCTTTTTGTGTATTAGTAAATGATGAAGATAATGATAGGGACAAATTTTTCCCATTACAACTTTCATTCACGTATTTTTCTTCCAGGGTGGAAAAATTCAGATATTTTGAACTTGAGTTCTGAAAGTGAACGGAAAAAAGTTACACTTTACTTGAAAGTCCGCTAAAATAAATGTAATTGTTATGACGAAGAAAATATCATTTTATGGAAATGATAATAAAAAAACATCAAATGTTTTATAATTTACATTAATTCCTTATTTTCTGCCTACATCTTTACATAGTATTATTTAATAATATTAACCAGACAATTTGAATTAAGCTGAATAAATACGGCACATCGAACTTCATCCAGTTAATGTTGGCAGAAGTCACAGGGCGCTGACAAAAGTATGAGGAGTCTTATGTTTCCGTGATGAGTGTTTCGACATACAAATGCATCGGAAATTTTGGGTTGTACAGACTCAATATTGTTTTATGTAAATCGCGAAGGACGGAGACGTATCGCTCCGAACTCGGAACTGCGTAGCGAAATAAATTAGGCTCTCAGCAGCCTCTCAGGTGGTATCGTGCAAACAGAAATTTAGACTAAACCCAAATGGCCTCGAAACTACATACCTTGTTTCTCCCTAGCCTTAGAAACTTCCCACCAATAGTCCGATTCCCGTCTATTAAGTAATATCTGCTCTTTCTCGTCACCGTAACGGTCAGGTCTCGCGTACCAGCCCTGAGAAAGATCAGGACAAGATGGTCGAAACGTCGGCAACACAGCCATCGACGCGGCGTCACCCGGACAGCCAAGATCACGCACATGACTGGCCGCGGAAGCCTACAAATTCAATATGCACTTCATTCAGCATAACCTGTACGGAATGTAACCACCAATTTTGGATAGTGTGAGCATCAATCAGCCAATTCACGACTTAGATTTGGACGTTGGGCACAAGTATATAACATACAAACTCAACCACTTCACAAAGCATTATTTAACACTAAATTTCGATGTAAATTGTAAGAGTCAGACCTCCGTATAATGACGTTCACTGTTCCTTTAATAATATTCGATGTGCAAAAATTTCAATACAGAGAAACAGACGTAACATTTTTGCCGAGCTATTAAAAAGTTTTAGAAATTAAACTAAAGGTAACGTTCATTTCGGTGTATTTTTTGTTGGTTTTTTATAAAAAAAATTACACAAATGTAAATTTTTGAAACATCGGTCATGCCATTGATATGCACAAACTCAAAAATTTCCGGTGAAAAAACTTTAACTTTCGAATTTACAGTAGCGCTTAAACGTTTTTTAAAAACTGCTCCAAAATTTTCAAAGAAAATTGCCACTTACGACGAGGTTTTAAAAGAATACTAATATAATATTTTCGCTCTATAATTAGGAAACTGAAAAATTAATAAAATGTCAAAACAATGTACTTTGGGCGGCGATAGATGGCAGTTGACAAAAGTATGTGGCAAGTCCGAGTAGCTAGCCGAGACAAAAGGACATAGAAAATCAATATAGGTAAGTCTGTGCCATTCTGTAGAACCACTAGTTTAATGTGGAACTTCATTTCGATCGGTAGGTGGTCACGGAGTAAAATCAGAATATTTTCAACTGTATTACCTGCGTGCCTTTGAAATAGTTGTATAAAAGAACTCAATCGCCTAAGTAAATGGCGCTTCTTAGACGACGCGATGAGACCGTGTGATCTTCACAAAGGTGTAGCTCGGCAGCAAGTTTATCAATTGAGGCAGTGGTGGCTTTACAGGATTGCCGGATGGTTTGGAGAGCTCTTTCTAACGACATGAATTAATTCCCTAAAAATTCCAACTTAAAAATAGAGGAAGCTGTGGATTACATATTTACGGAAATAAAATTATTATGTAGGGTGCAGGACCCTTTCAAAATTTCTAGGGGGATCATGCCCCTCCTGTGCACACGCTTTTTGCCTGCACATCGGCAAGCAGGTTTTCCCTCTTCCGATATCCTCGCCAGCGGGACACCACTCATACCAGGACATTCTTTTCCCCCTGATGGGTCTCCCAACATGTGTGAAATAATGTAATGCTTGTATGTGTTAAGTGCATGTAAGGGGAGATGATGGGACAAGGAAAAGAAAATTCGCGCGGTCCTTTTGTTGTGGAACTGCCCCCATCCGCCTACTATTGATTGAAAAAGCCGCGGAAAACAGCCAATCAGACCAGCCAGTCGCTACATTCCTCCCCCAGATTGCGGCTCATTTCGACCTAGCTAAAGTCTATAAACTCTAGGACAACAGTGTCAACTGTTGTTAGGACAACAGTGTCAACTGTTGTTAGGACAACAGTGTCAACTGTTGTCCTGAGCCATCGCATTTGGACTTCCATTCGAAGCTTGGAGTCTAGAAATGAATTAACGAGACTCGCAACACAGAAGGTTGTTACATACTTGCCTATCCAAGTTGATGGGGAACTTTTTGTATTTCAGTCAGTACGTAGGGGGTCATTTGTTAAAACAGTACATATGTTATACTATTACTAATAACATTGCAGCATTACTTCTCATGAAGTAAATGTATAGAGGAAATAAACTGTTACTCAATCACTCATAGAGTTTATGATAGATCAATGTATTCAAAGGCATGAATAAATGTAACTATACATTAGTGAATGTGGTTCTATTATTTCTATACCATAGAACCTTCTTCTTCCCACACCTTCTACAGCAGGCACAAGATACTTTGTATCCCTCACAGTGGCCATATTTTGCTTTCATTTTAATGAAATTTCAAATAAAAAGCTTTTGAAGTCAACAAATTTGAGCTCTAATTTTTAAATTATTTTGTGCTAAGAATAATTAATATTCTTTAATGACAATTTGTGTCCAATATGTTCTTACCAAATATGGTTTAGTGAAGTCTCTTAAAGTCTCTGTTGTCTTGCTATTTTGGTCCATGAAAGTAAAGTGACCAAATACTGTAGGAAATTTTTTTAATAAATCATTATGAAAACAGTTAAGAATATCCTTTTCCTTAATACTATCAAAAGTGGATATGTCATGAATTTTGACACATGCTGAAGGATATGTATATAATGTAGGGTTCATTAAATTAAAAGAAATAGTGTAATATGGTGAATTTTCTTCTTCTGGTATTCGATAGCCATACTGCAAAAGACAAGGTTGCATTAATTAGTTAAAACGTTATATTTTAACTATTAAAAAAGTAAAAAAAGTAAAAAATTTAAACCATATTTTTCCAGTGACGTCGAAGCTCTTTGTAAGTCTTGTATGGACAAGAGGCTGGTATGTGTTGATTGATGTACACAATTTTCCCCTTTTTAAGGCTAAATGATAATTATATCAAAATATTTTTAGTAATATATATTTCAGAAAAAACAAAGAAAGAAAAAAGAAAAAAAATACTTTGTGTTTTACATACCTAGGAAGAACATAAACCCATTGAGATTCAAGCTCAATTTCTGATATAGTCGAGATGGATTTTGAGGCAAAGTTGTTGATTGTATTGGTTGGTATATTGAAGTCTTCCAGTTTTGTAGGCCATAACTTTACTTGCAGGGATCGTAACATTATGATAAGATTATCGTCTAAAAGTATTATTATTTAATTTATTAGAGAAAAAGTAAAACATCTAATATTATGAATGAAGACTGACGAAAATTATAGAATTTTGAGTGTATTCAATATGAATTTTTACCTTTTATATAGATATCCATTTTCACTGCAGGAAGTAACTGAGAACATTCTAAAAAACGTCTACCATTTACTAAATACTTTCCAACTTGATTCCAAAGGGGTGCCACTTTTGCTATTATTGTGTAATGCAAACAACTCTCATAAATAGATTTTGAAACAGGAACTGGTTCTTTTGCCTGGAAGTATAATATTTTAAGACTATTGTTAAAGATAATGACTGTTGAGTAGGTTGAATATTTAAAAATTTACACACAGATAGTTGTAACTTATCAAGCAATTCTGTGAAACATTTGTTTTCATAATGTATTTTGTCCAACACAACATAAATTCGACTCTCTTGACCTAAAATTGGTGAAGCAATTATTTCAGAATCACTGAATATCAATTGTCTGAAAAAGAAAAAAAAGAAGAAAAAAAAGTGGTGAAGGGAAAGGAATTTCAATTAATTACATGGAATTTTTTAAAAATATCAAGCAAACCTGCACTTTAATATTCTCCAATGATACAATGATTTCGCAGAGGAGTCGCGTTTTTCACATAGATTAACGGATACTTCAATACAACACAAAGTCATAGGATGCTGCAATGTTATGGTCAACACTTTGCAAAATCTTTCTTTTGATATCTCCATTTATTAGCTTTTTCTTGCTTCCTTTATATCAGCTGAATTAAGAAATACTTAATAGTTCATGCACTTACATCACAACCCAGAAACAATCAATGAGGAAACGAAGACTATTATTCTAATTCGCGGTGAGATCGAAAATATTACTTTCTCACAGCTTTCTCTCATTAACAACTCTTGCCAACCACCGCAAAAAAAATGTAACATTAACGAAATACAAAAAATTATTGAAACAAAAAATGTAGGCGTAACAAACATTTACTGCGATATTCGCAACAGAGTTAATTTAAAATCTGGCAGAGCGTTCACAGTATATAATTTATACATTCCATACGAAAAACGCGAGTGTTCGCGCAGTTTCGCGCTTTGTATTTTGCCGCTGAATAGAGATCCTATGTTCAAAAAGTTAGCGACAAGCTCGAACCGTCCCTTAAACATCACACTTCATGAAAGTGGAGAATTATCAAACAAGTAAGTAGGTCGAATTAACGAGATGTTAAATCGCAATGTACTATAATTTTTGTTTAAATTTGACTATTCATCCCGCGAAATGTGACAGACTAGTGTTGATAATGGTTAATAAGACGATATGGATAATTAGAACACTTCTGTTCCTATTATAATTATTGAGAGTGGGCCGTGGATTACTATAATTCTTGTGCTCTAATAATTCTAATAGTTATAGAGGGAGATGTATTCTTTTATAAAGACAGACGGATGGAGTTTGAGAAAGCGTTAGGTTCGTTGTGTTACGTACGGTAGGGATAGGAGGGTGTTACTATTACTATTTAATTCATAACACTAATTTGAACACTAAGCATCATCGACGGGATTGTCACTTTAAGTATTATTCATTGTAATTTATAACACAAATAAAATTAATAAAAATTGTTTTTACTGTTATATGATTTATTTTTACTTGTGAATAAGGGGCGCTACGTAATTATTTAAGGGGTTCAAGCAAGCGCTACAGGTGCGCTATTGGGGTGGAGGAGCGAGGGGGTACTCAAAATACTCCAGATTTAAGTTATGTAATTTCAGGACTGCTCCTAATTACATAACTGATATTTGTTGCGTAAAGTTTATCTTCAGAGTGGGTAAATCTTTTATACCTAAATCAGGGTTATATGCATTGATATACACAGGGGTGGATTAATCCAAGAGCAGACTAAGCCTGTGCGTAAGGTTCCCGGAAGATAGGATCACTAATAATATTTCAAACAAAATTTTATAATTTTTCATGGATTTTAAAAATATTTTAATATTAATTTTTAAAATTGCTTAGGCTATGATATATGGTTCTGTTAAAATTGACAACTTCTGTTCAATTTTTAAAAAATATTATTAGGAGACCTTGTCGTTTGGTCATGTTCAAGGCCTCCAAGATATTAATTTGGCTCCACAGTCACATCTAGAAAGTCACATAGGCATAGTCAAACATCTCCCCCCCCACACACATACACACACACAAAATAAATCTTCAAACTTCTGTTCTCTTTCATATAAAATAAAACTGTACTTCACTCTTCTTTTTTACCTAATTTGTCTAAAATTAATTCCACAGTAACATTTCTTTTGTTGTACACATCCTTGTGTTGTACCTTGGTCATCAGCACCTTCTGTAGAATAAAAACCTGATTAAAATCAACAATGACATTAAAAATTTGAAAATTTCAAAAAAAATTGTTGATTATATTAATATTTTATTATAAACAAAATTGTATGTTTTGCTACTTTATTTATTAATGACTCATTAACTTAAAAAAAATAAAAATTATTATTTGATTTCATACTACTGATAATTTTGATTCTTATAAAAAGTTAATATCATCAATATTTTAATTTTTTCAATCATTTTAAAAATTAATTTTAAAATATATTGTTATTCTAATTGATAATGTATTGTTGTTATTATTATTATTATTATTATTATTATTATTATTATTATTATTATTATTATTATTATTATTACTCATTCTGCCCCTTCCCACCTTCCTGATGAAAATCCTGAGTATCCCCATGTTCCGTGTACATTCCAGTAATTATAATAGTACCCGTACACTAGTCATTTTCACATAATAAACCTATTGTTCATAAATACAAAGCATTGTGTTGTTTGTTTTTTTCTGTTAAGGAACTAAGAGCCCCATACTATTATTTTGGAATGTATGGACCCTGACCCTTGCTGGAGTGGTGGCATGCGGTAGCATGATTTCTACAAATTTATCGGAATCAGGAATCTCTGATTTAATTTTTCGATTATGAGGTTCCCTGTTGTGAGACGCAATAAAATTGATCACATCTCCCTATTTCTGAATAGCTATTAAGCTCAGGAAAACATTTGAGATAGTCCTGATGTATTCATGAGTCGCTTTCGAGTCGAGTCGAACGAAAGTTTCGACACCCGTTTCTGACAACACTGGCTGCAGCATACTCTCTGGGCTGCAGAGCAGAGCAGAGCAGAGCAGAGCAGTCGAGCAGTCTGAAGAGCCAGTGAGAGCAGTGCTGAGGAAACTAGTGGAGGGGATTTCTGAGCGTAAAGGAGACGTCCAGAGACATCGTGGGAGATAGACTGGGCAGATGAAGAGAAGGGACTGTCGAAGGAACTGACGTTAATGATCACGAAGAAGCGTGCGCTCATCAGTGAAATCAGCTGTCAGCACTAAAGATAGATCGACGTCTGTAAACGATGGTTTTGTCCCCCGTTGTTCGAGTTAAACTTGTCATATTTGCTGTCATATGTTTCGTTTTATGGCAAGCAATACGCACTGTTCCAAGTTCTACTTCATTTGAGGATGCGGTGAGTTCTTGTGGAATAGTACCGGGAAAAGCAATTTTTTTTTTTTTGTTAATATGTAACTGATTATTCTACTGTTGTCTTTAAAACCATATTCTACCACTATTGCGTCGATTGAAGTTGAATGTTTAGGTAGTTCCTGTCATAAGAAGAGAGTGCTTTATCTCGTACAGAATAGTACAAACTCAATTGAAAATATTTCAAATTGTAATTTCGAAATTGACATTTTTTTACACTGTTGCTTAAGAACTTTAAGGAGTGTCAATCTTAACTTTAATTTGAAGATTGCAGGTTTCACACAATAATTTTAATTTTCATTTGGTGATTAATAATAGTGTATTTCTATTCTAGATTGGCGATAGAAAATATGATCAGGTAGTACCTGGTGCCCAAGGATCCATTGTGCCAGTGAAAGTTACAGTCTTCTATGAATCATTGTGCCCTGATTCTCGAAGCTTTATTACCAAACAACTGCTTCCAAGTTATGAAAAAGCTCCTCGGTTAATTGATCCGGTTTTAGTACCATATGGGAAAGCTGAGGTAATAAAACTTTTACTTAATGATATTTCTGTGTTAGTGTTTGTAATATTTAAAGTTTGTATACATCTTTGTGTAAACTATAATCTGTATTAGGTAATCTAAATGAATGGCATCTGCAGTTTTTCTTTCTTTTTCTGAAAATAATGTCTTCCTCTTAATCCAATTTTCAAGTACGAAAAGTGTTGAACGTTTGTTACTGTTCCCTTTATCTCAATTTTTGTATCTTTGCATCAAAGAAATATAAATGCCAATCAGTTATAAAAAATGAATGTTACTAGATTTAACTTCATATAGTATGAGTAAAACAAAAGTGTTAATTGAGCTGGGCATTAATAAAAGAACTTTATTTTATTACTACAAATCAAATTATTTATTATTAGTTTAAATTATTTTATTTGGACTAGAGAACATCTTAAGTATTTTATTGTTGTCTTTGTTTCCTTCCTACCTGCCCTTTGTGATCCCTCTGTGTGGTATCCATAATCTAGAAGAGCGAGTTTGCCATGGGTGAAATTCTGTACTTGCTTGATGAAATGCCAAATTTCTACTTTATTCAATAAAGAATAATTCAATTAATTTTGTGTATTTCAGACACAAGAATTGCCTGATGGAAGTTACCGATTTACATGTCAGCATGGACCTCTAGAATGTCAAGGCAATAAAGTCCATGCATGTGGTATAGCTAATATCAAAGATAAAGAAGTGCAATTAAAGTATATTGCTTGTATGATTAGTGACAATATGAAACCAGAAGCAATAGGATTATCAGTAAGTAATGTAAATGCTATAAATAATTTAGTATAAATGATAGTTACATAAATTGCTTATTATAAAATCCCTTTATAGTGTGCTGAAACATATGGAGTGCCATGGGACCCAATTTTAAAATGTTCTCAAGATAACCAAGGAGATGTTTTGTTGAAACATTATGGTGAAGAAACCCACGACTTATCACCTGCAGTATCTTTCATTCCCACAATCTTACTGAATGGGGTAAGTTTAATGAGATACATTAATATTAACTTTGTTTATGTTTGATTGTAATATTCTAACATTTATCTTTGAAAATAGAGTCAAGATAATCAGGCTGCAATACTGAAGAATCTTCTGCAGGAAGTATGCAACCAATACTCGGTACGTATAAAAGTTTTTTTTGTGTTTTCAAAAGTTACACAAATATATTTTTTAGATATCCTTCTCACATCATGAATATTTATATTAGCAGAAATATGTTTACCTCATCGCATCATTAAAGTACATGCTCTTTAAATGAAGTCTCGAAAAAAATTCTCGAAAACTCAAAAGTTTTCTGTGATAATAAGTTCACAATTCCGCATTTTCAGCAACTTTCAAACGGCATTTTCTCAAAAACTGCTCCAATTTTTTTCTCTCTCTCGCAAAATTTTCATGCAAATTGTGCTAACTGAACTGTTTAAGATGACATAAAACCGTTTTACCATATTCTTTTGTTGTTTTCCCAAAAAATTATACAGATGAATTTTTTTTTTTTAAATTGGTTTTTAAACATGCATTTGTTAGTGGAAGTGCTTCAAATAACTTCCAAAGTTTTCTGTGAAAAAGAGCTTCAAATTTCACATTTACAGAAATGCTTAAAAACCATTTTCTTAAAAAAGGAAGGAAGGAAATTTTAGAAAGCTTAAAATTGAGGGGGGGAGGGGGGAAATTGCTTTTTGGGAGGTGACAGATAGCAGCTGGCAAGACCAAAAAGCTAGCACAGACCAAAGAAATTACAAAACCTAACTAGTATGAGTCTGCCATTCTGTAGCACCGCTAGTTTAAGTTTTTTTATACTATCCGAGGACAAAGTTTAATGAACAATTTAGAACCATTTTTGAGAAAATTTTGAAAATGTCAAGATTTTATCATGTAAAGTACCCCTGAAAATCAAAATATCCATTTCAACCTTTAAATTGATCAGAAAATATTGTTGGAGAATATTGGCCAAAAGATTTCGGCACTAGATCAAATTCAGACAAATCAATCACAGAAAATTCATTTTGGCAAGAATTCTATGAATAGTTCAGATACTAGTTTTGTTCACAGATGTTTTGGAAAAAAAGTTTTTTGGTACCAGGGGTTCCCAAAATATGTATTTCTGTAAAAAACGCAAAATCGATTTTCCACAGCATTACACGACTTTCTCTGTACTAGGCATATTATTTGTTTATACATACCTACATGCAAAAGTAAAAATAATTTGAAGAAAAAGAATAAAAAAAAGGGAAAAAAAGCAGCCCAATCGTATCTATCTAAACACTGTACTTTTCAATGAAAACGCCTTTGAAATCGGTTGAAGTATTCCCCCTAGAAAAACTGTCAAAAAAATTAAGAAAACTGTTTATTTTGTTTGTACATCAGCTAAATAAGCGTTCGAGATAAGAAAGAGGCAATTATTTTCAAATCTGACACACTTCAGCTATATTTATACAGATTATTTCTCAAGGTGAAATCCCGATCAATTAAGAGGCAGAAAAGGCCATGAACTTGATCTGAATAGTTTGTGCAGTGTGTATATTCCTGTTCCAATAATAAAAATTTGGAATTCGGAAGTGCCTAGAACAAGAACTGAATCAAATAATTCACTCGTAGAGAACTTGTATCATATCTGGCATGTATACTTTAAAAATGTTCATTGATGAATCTTGAAATCTGTGGCCAGCTATTGCATGGTGGGGGAGATCACCAAATGCACATTTAAAGAAAATAATTTAATTTCATTTTTATGCTTATACTTATGTATATATTTGTTGCAGTATCCAAAACCAGAAGAGTGCAGCTGATTAAAGGATGCCACTTCAGGAGCCAGCAGCAAAATATTTCAGGGGGCCAATAGAGAATCTAAAAGAATGACTAGTTATAAAAACTAATTCATTTTGTATCATGAATTTGAAATAGCACTGTCCACAATCTTAAGCCTACAATTTAAAATGCTTTTGTACATAACGGGTTCTTCCACACTGTATAAAACATTCTGTACAATGTCCTTGTAATATAGTAGAGAAGCATATCACATGAATATGATAGATGAAAATACCATGGAATGTCTTTGAAACTTTTGCTGCTTAAAGGTGCAGATCTCTTTAAAAGTCAGTCATTCACAATTAGTATGTGCCCTTGGAAAACATGATCTTATAAGATTTTTCTTACTCATTTTTGGGAAGAATTGTGTATAAAAGATGTTTCATAAATTTAAAAAATGATTGCAGTAATATTAAAACTTAAATTTTTCTCCCTTTTGCTTCACTCTTGTGCTATATTTTACCACTGATGGTATTTTACTTCTATCGTGGTAAAACTAAGAACTAATTCCTAAATATGTTATTGTTCAATGTTTTTTGTACAAATATTATTTTTTTATTTTGACTCTGGGAAGGTATATCACCTAGCATAATGATTTTAACTTCTTAGTAGTCTAGTCTTTTTATCCATATAAAAATAAAAATGATAGATGAAAAAAAATGCAATGGTGCTTCTCAGTTGTTTTGTGCAACGGACATAACAGTTACTGAAATGCTTATTGATATTGCAAATTAGTTGAAGTCAGTTTTTAAAGGATCTTTGAAAAGACTTTTTGTATTTGTGACTTACTAAATTAGATTTGGGTTCCTTTGAAAGCTGTTAGTTACTAAGTACTAAGTGGAAGTCTTCTGACCTGTGATAGGGTAGGGTAGGATATGGGATAATAGTTTTCATTTAAGTTGCAATGGAAATATGTTTATATACTTTATCAGTTGAAGGTTAGTGAGTGTCAATTATTGTTCTTGCCTGTACTTTGTTGTTCGGGGATGATTCATGTTGGATATTCTGATTACGGTGTAGGATGAAGCTCATCTCTGCATTTATAATGAAAACTATAATTTTGGTTGTTGGTATGGTCTACTATTGTCTTGTTATTGTATTTTAACATATTTTCATATGTAGTTGAAGGAAAGCTTGTATAAGTTGTTCGTTCATGTAATAATATATTATATACTAATTTCTTTTAACATTGAAACAAAAATAATTTGTTTACCTTCTCCATTAGATTTGTTTACCCATTTTTAATATTCATAACTAGGTATATGTATCTTAGTTCACATTGCACATTTGTGTAAGCAAATTGTTTAACTAGTTTAAACATTGCACAAATCATCTTTGGCAATATCGATATATACTCGACTAAAGGGATGAGATGACTGTACATACTTCAAGAATGTACAAAATGCAATGAAATATTACCAACTAATGATCTCTTCAATAATGAAGTCTTACTTGTAGAAAGGATGAGATGTATATTGTTTAGGTGTAGTTTTTCTCTTATCAAATCTAAAGTACAAATATTAATGCTGGACATGGTACAATTCTTAGAAAATAACATATTGGATTTAGATACTACACTAGACAATTCAATAAATTGTTTTCAAAATAAACAGACCCGAAGATAAACTTTACCTTCAATCTAAATGATAAAATGTTTAACCTCTTGTTTAAATTTTACTTCCTTTTCAATTTTTATACTGAAAGGTAATTACAAAATAAAAATGAATTACTTCCCCAAAAGTTAACCAATTTAATATTGGGTATTAATTTTTGATCATAGCACAAACACAAGAGTATTATGTGTTCAATGTATGTTCATTTGTTCATAGAGTTATTTTATGAATGGAATTGCTGCACATGTAACTACCCTGGAGCTTAGATGGGCCTCTGAGAGGAGAAAAGAAAATTATTTTGTATTGGATTTTTTTTTTTATTTTTTAATAATTTAAAAATTAAACAGGATGGTAGTTGTATATTTTATATATTTACTTCTAAGGATTGAATGGAGGAAAAATAACATGATAGAAACATCTAGAAATTAAGCAAATAAAATTTCATAGATTGGTTAATCAAACGAATCTTTGGTTAAGATCTGTTTGTATTACATGTAAATCAGAATGAAAAAAATTCATGTCTTCCATCATGAAAGTCTCTCTTCAACATACAAAATTACTGATTAAAACCACAAACAAGTATGTATTTTGTAAACATAAATGACAATGACAAAATTTGCAGTGTGCTATATTCTGGTAATGATCATGAGGATGACTAAATTTGTACATATTGTTTTGTAATGAATTACAACATGATCCGTTACTGAATTGTCCCTTTTTAAGCGATTTTGTATGCAACTTAGGATTCAAAAGAGCTAAAAAAGGGAACAGATTTGTAGATGCAAAGCACACTAATAATGTAAATGGTTATATGTTAGAGCATCATGCAAGGATGCCAGATTCCACAATGGTTAAGACAGAAATACATTACATGCCAGCCAGAAGATACAAGAAAGAATTTATAAGCTGCAACAGTCCAGAGGACCCTGAAGTTGATATTGTTACAAATCAGAATTGTCCAAATTTTATCCAGTCAAAACAAAAAAAATATCTTAGAAACTTTTTTTAGCCAATGGACTTTTTTTTTCAATCTCAAATAAAATAACAAAACAATTTTAATAAACAGAAATATGAATTAAAAACTCAAATTTAATCTAAACAAACATATTCCAAAATATGTGAAAAAACAAAACAAAGTAAATTGACAATAAAATACAAACTTCATGTGCTAGTATGCTACACAATCCGAATTTCATCACAGCAAACAAAACATGCCGAGTTAGCTAAGAACCAGCATTACTGTTTTCTGCAACAACTCTTGACTGAGAAATCCCTGATAGTGGCAGGTTTTGCAACATCAGCTATATAGCTAGGACGAATTCAGCTACTGTCTGGAGTAGAATTCTAGCAGGTGGCTGCTCGGATCAATAGTTTTCCATGGTTTCTCCAATCTCTATCAGATTATTTTGTGAAAGTATCCTAATAATGGGCTTTGGAACGTGCAAGATCCTCCCTTCCTCATTCTTGACCTTTGTCCTCCTCTTACACCTATAAGCACAACTCTAACACTCATGTCAAGAGACCAATTGAGTGAGAGCTTGACCCAGACGGGGCAGTGTCCAAAGGGAAATACTTGGATGGGGAAATCCCTCACAAGCCAACTTATAGGTCATTACTGCATCTCACCACCCTGCAAAGAAAGAACACTGCCTCTGCCCACAAAAGAAATATTCACTGCACTAATATGACTAATGACCATAGCAGTTAATGTGACTCGAAACATTCAATCCCACAAACAAATAAAAAGACACCACACATGCAAAATTAACTTACAGTATAATACAAACTTTGTATAATGATCCTTTATGTGATGCATTTGTTACTTTTTTCCCCAAACATAATGTTAACAAAAAAGTATGTTACCTGTAACGATCTTAAAACAAAGGGGGAGGGGCATAATTGGATGCATCTTATATACACTTACAAATAGTGCAACAATTTGATTTTTTAAATGAGAAAAATCAGTAATTTTTATTAGCTAAATTTAAAAACTCTATGGTAATCTGAATAAGCTGGAGGGAATGAGGAACTCTGTTAGAAACCATGGAACCTTACTAGGTTCACCACCTTCAAACACCTACACATTTAGGGGCCATCCATAAATTACATAACACATATTTAGAGTATTTTGAAAAACCCCTCTCCCCACTGTAATGCACCCCTAACGCACGATTAAACACCCTAAATAATTACGTAATGCTTGTGACAACCCCTACTTATAAATGCAAGAAGTAAAAATAAATTACACTCGTAAAAAATTGTTTTCATTTTATTTGTGATGTGTATTAAAATTTATGATAATAAGTCAAAATTAGTTGTCGATGTTTACTGCACCTAACAATAAGATTGGGGACAAATTTTAAGTGAAGGAAGTTTCTGATCACAAGCTATGCACATGCCACCGTTGTGTATGGCGCATAGGCAAGAGTCTATTGCGCCAATTGAATTCTATGAAATAAATATTATAGATATTTCCTTCGTAATCTCACAGATTCAATACAAAATCAATGAAAAATTATTTCCATCGATTGTAACAACTTCTCATAACTTTAAATTATTTATGTTTTAAAACAAATTAATTAGATAACATTTTAATGTTTTAGTATAATTCTCAAAAAAGGAACTGTTTCAACAAATGCTTAAAAAATTTATATCTATCAATGTTACGTAACATTAATCAAATAAAACCCTTTCCCAAGGTAACGCAGCACAACGTGCCTCAAGCCCCCTCCCGTTTCCGCAAATGAAGAACTTGCCATCATATTGAGAATCAGATTGTTCATGTAAACAACTGTTCAGTTTTTGCTGTAATGCAGGCTCTGCATGATTAGCTTTGTTCCAGATAACACTAGAGGAAAGAAAGGAATAGAGGGAGAAATATTTTTGTGATTGGTATCAAAAAAGGTACAATACTGATGAACAGAATAATTTTAAAAAAATCGAAACCTGCTCATCACTTAGTGTTAAAAGTAAATTCAAAGGTCCTTCTGAAGTAAACGAATGGTGCCACAGAACAGTACAGACTTTCTGAAACAAGTTAAGTTTCCTGTTCTCTCGAGACTAGATTGGCTTTTTGGTTTTGCCTCACCCTCTTCCCTACCTACTACCTCTATGGAGACATTCCCAGTGAAACGCTCCACGAAACCAAGACATACCTTGGTACTGTACCAATACATTCTTGCCAGTAATATCCCTTAGTCTCATCTTTTTGCTTGAATAATTATTGTGGGTGTAGGGATCCAGTTCCTTTACTATTACATACACAGTTGTCTATGATGTCAAGAGTTTATGAAAAGATTAATGTGTGGTATAATATCCCACCACACAAATTGTACATTCATGCCTTGCACAGAACCTACAGACTCATCAGGCTTTGCTCGTCATCCCCAAGTCCCTGTCTCTTAACCATATTAGCTGTAAAACTGTTATGGCTATACACCGTAACGGGATACAATGATAACATAAACTAAATCTGTCATTTTAAACCATATGTGTCCTTAAATGTTCTTTCCAGAACTAAATCTATATATTTTAATTTTTTTGACACCATTTATTTCCATAGCAACAAAGTTACTTTAGCATCAAAATCAATCACTATGGCATTCAGTAATGGACAATTATCTCAAAATAAACTCTACAAAACATGTTGTACAACATAATATTTGAAGCAGTATCAGTTAACATAGTTTTGTTCACTTTCAGGCAATACTTATACTGAGGAAATTTTATTATTACTGAAGATTATTTTCCATGAAAAGTTTTGAGTTTTCGAGAAACTTCATAGTAAAACATTTGAAGCCCTTGTACACAAAATATAAAAGAAAGATTGTAATGCAAATATTAATGACATGAAACACCATTTGTAAAAAATCAAAAGAATACATCAAAATTGCTTTTACGTCTTCTTGTTGAATGCATTTAGTACTATCAATTTTTTATTTTTTTCTATTTGATTTACAAATAAATCTTCATATTCTACGACATAAAATAGTGCCTTTATGTCATCCTTATCATGTGTGTCATCATGAATTCAGCATGCTTCTTTTCTTAAGATTCTTTACCAAAAATTTTACTGATTTAATTTTGTAGTTTAATTTTAAAAACATTTTTATTGCAAATTTCAGAACCTCCATCTCAAGTTGTGGTTACATTAAACCATAAAACATTATGCTATGCTTTTAATAAGAATATAGCTCACGTCCTGAAAATGCTTAATTTTTTGATTTCCTATAATAGGTTTGTAAACTTTATTTGTATTTCACTCTTACAAGAAATTTGAAGAAAAAATTGATAGTTTCACAGGCTTTAGGTAAAATACTCTAAAATTGTCAAAATCAAAAAGCCTTGAATTGGGTCAGACCAATACCAGATATTCACTTAAGAAAAAATCCTGAGAATGGTTTAGGCACTGCGATTGTTCACTGGCAATAGATAATTTTGGGGGTGAAAAAAGTATTTCCAGTATCAGGGGATCCCAAAACACAAATTTCTTTTAAAATCTTGAAATCAATTTTCAATAGCATTAGACAATTTCTCTGCACTACATATATACTTTGTATATGGGCAAACAAGGAAGAACGCCGTCAATGTGAGTTTTTTAACATTTCTGAATTTTGGGATTAGTTAGAATTGTTTCCTAAATCATTACCACCCCCCAAAAAAATCTAACTAATTCCCATATTTAGAACAAAATAAAAAGAAAGCACATGTTGACAGCATTTTTTCAACTTAAAAATTCAAAAATTCACCTCAAATTGTAGACAAAATTCTCCTCCTCCTACCATGAATAAGTGATGGGCAACAACCATTAAACACAAATTTGTTTATTGAATAAATGTTTATTAATAACAAGACATACACATATTCAATCCAACAGCTGCAGATTGTTAAGTTTTTCCCAACTGTAAAAGCCAGCTTTCACTTGTCGGCCACCAAAGAAGCGGCCATTCAAATCAACAACAGCTGCAATAATAATATAGGTTGTAAATAATTAGAACATGAAGTATCAACATGAATTAGATCACAAAACTTCATTAGAGGACAAAATTTCATACCTTTTATAGCCGATTCAATTCTTTTAAATTCTACAAATATTCTCACAGCCTCATCAGGTTCTACATTAGGTTGTTCAAAGATGATAACTTTAACAACTTCTCCATATTTTGAATTACATTCATCTTTAACTTCTGGTTCAAGATCTTCATCTACTTCTCCTGGGCCAACCATGTTCTGAAATATGATGATACAGGCATATGTAAGAATCTTCTCCAATAAGAATCAGAACTTAAGTTATTACATTCTAAAACAAGAAAATTTTTTGGACAATATTTGTTTTTCTAATATTTCAATTTGTAGAAACACAAACAAATGTAATTCTTATTGGTGAAATTGAGAAAGTGGAGCATTCATAAAGATTCCATGATGCTTTGATGAAACTGAGAAGATTAGCAAATAAACAAATCATGAGTTATAATATAAGCATTATCATAAAGAAAATTACTATTGTAGTATGAAGATCAAGGCTATATGATTTTCTTCTACCCCCTTTTTTTTTTGTTTCAATTATCTGCTAAAATGTTATAACTTATTCTACATGTCAAAATACAAAAACTTTTTTTGTATTTTTACAAAGATTTTGCTAATATATACAAACATTCAAGAATGCATTAATTAATGCATCTATTAACCTTCAAGAATAAGTTAATATTTTGAGCACATAAATTTGCTTATTCATAAAGAAATTTCACAATTTTTTTGAGTAATAATTAAAACAATGACAAGGTGGGTCCTTTTTTACCAAGAATGATGTAAAGCAAAGGGATGGGCCACTCTCCTGGGAACCCACATTCAGTCCCCTCCTAGACTTGCAAGATGTAGGGGAAGTCAGTGCTGCATAGTTCCGAGGCTGACTCGTTGCAATCCAAAAATGTGTTTACGTAGATATACACAACTTTCAGAGTGTACTTGAGTGTTTTAACCCCTTAACTTACCTATTATGAAACAAAAGATGGTCCAAAAATTTCCAATTTTTTATTATTAATATTAAGAACACGAACATAAGGCTTTTAACTTTTTGAAATAATTAAAATCCTGAGTATACTCTGGCTTTTATGTTAAGTGGTTAACTTGCTGTTAGTTTTCCACAAAATAGATTGTGATCTCCATAAATAGTAAAGTGATCATTATGTTCTCAGGTGGTAATTGTTTAGTGAATTCAGGGAACATCAACTGATGGTCATTAGTCCTTCAAGTATAGAGCATATATTTCCTTGGGTAGCGACAGTGATCTTTCCCCGCTGCATGGTGAGATCCAGTGCCGACCTACCGTTGGCAGGGCTTTCCCTAAACCGGCATCTCCTACCAGTGGGGCACAGCCCCCAGCCAGCACAATCTCTACGCTTCTGAACAGTTTCTCGGCATTTGTGGTAGTGTAGTGTATATTAGTGTAAGAGTGTGTAAGGAGTGAGGATAGGACAAGAGGAAGGAAAGATTGTGTGCTATGTGTTGATCGGAGAAACCATGGAAAACTACCAAATAGAGCAGCCTTGAATTCACCCTGCTGACAAACCATTGACAAAAATCCTGCCGCTGTCAGGACTTGAACCTAAGACCTCCCGTCAGGGGCACTGCAGTGACATCAATTGATAACCCGAGTCACGGTCTCAGGTGGTAAAATTGGTAAAGGTATGCTCTCAGGTGGTAGAACAGTGGTATCATTTTCCCCTCAATAATATATTGACTTTTTGGGTACATGTTCACTAATAATCTCAAAAATGGTTACTTTTTACTTGTGCCACTTTTCTATCAACAGACCAATATTAAACAGTAACGCAGTATTTCAGTAAATAGAAGAGCACATTTTTACTTGGCAAGTACAGTGGAATCAGAAATAACTAAATGCAGCGCTGATTTTATGTATTATGAAAACATACTCCTTACTCTTATGAAGCAAAGATCCATTTCCTTCAAACACTTCCAAGCCCCTTCTACAGATAAATGCTGCTTGGAAGTCATGCACATCAAAAATTGAATCATTTTGTAAAGTAGGTACCAATGGTAATGAAGGTACATCTTAAACAAAATTAATTTTCCTAAAATACAGTCTATGATTTCCTTAAGTTATTTAATTTCACAATGAAAATGAAAATATAATAATATATACACATTCTCTGGATGTACTGGATAAATTCCTATAATTCCCATGCTAAATTATTTCAGTTATGAGTTTTACGTTTATCACTCTTATACATTCATAAATTGTAAACGTCCAATAAAGACCTTATAATGTTCTAATGATCCTGGTGAGGCACGGGGTGACTTATGTCGAGAGCTCGGAACTATTGTTACTCAAGCCCGTACGCTCCAGAGCTCTTTTGCGAAGCGATCTGTCACTTGGCCTCTGAGGCGACTTCCCGCTAATGAAACTTGTAATACAGTAGCTCAACACGGCCTATGATGCGGCTCCCCGACCACCTCCAGCAGCGAAACTTCCAAAAATTTCAGTCGGGTGCATACGGGAGCACTCTTAAGATCTCAGGAGGCGACGGCTAGCTCCCAGGACAAGAGGACCAGGAGAAAGTAATGATGTAGATGACCAAAAAGAGAGGCAGTTTGTTCACTGACTGTCCTATTCTCCTAAGTCCCTTTTCCTTGCCATAATATCATATGAGATCCTTTCAGTAGCAGCATGGCACAAACTGATTGCTTTTCCGGGTGGTGGGAGTCGCCATGCTGGGTTAGCGCTTCCTGTCGCCCATGTAGAACACCATGCTTTGAGCCGCGGAATCTCAAGTAACATGGAGCTTGAAACCAAAACAAACAGCCACAGGTCGCCACCGCCAATTGTAGCCCACTCTGGACACAAATTTCGTTTCTGAGTCGTGCAAGGTCGTCAGTAAGGTCCCCATTCGTGTACGTCTGTCTGCTACCTCTAGCTCAGGGGAGAATTCTTCGACCGACGATAGTTTTTCCAAGCTGACCAGTGTCGTAATTTGTGTCTCTATGTTTGAATCGAAATATAGTTCGTCTTTTATCTGGTTTTACATCCGTGATATTAAACAAACACCAGTGGTTTGAAAAGGCAACCCTTTTCAATATCAGATACAAACATTTTAAAAGTTGTCAGGGAGAGTGGCAATTACAACAACGATATTGCTAAATAACTGAAAAAACTGTTAACATGATAAAGTAATATTGAGTTTTCATTTTGCGAATAATCAATTTCAGTTATAAATTTTTCTCACTTTTACATTTTTTCCCTTCAGTCCCCTGAAAAATGTATGAGTGAAGTTTTATTGTATGCTAGAGAAGATTAAGGAGATAAATTACCCTTAAGAGAACCACTTTGGCTGGTGCTTTCATAATTTCTGTAATTGATGGCTCTGGTTTCGGAGGTGCTCCTATCTGGGAATTTGCGACTGGTGAGCCAATTGTCGTTCCTGCTGGAGGAGGTGGCATTATTTCTTTCTCACTAATGATTCGTCCTCCACGTTTGCTGGTTTTCTCTACTTGAAGTGCCATAGAAATTCCCTGCTCTTGTTTTCCCAGACCTTGGCCCTCCTGAAAATGATTATTTTAATAATTAAATATGTACATGTTCCACAACAAAAATAACATACACTTTGTATTCAGAAGTCCTGTTTTTGTTAACAAATATTAGTACTCTTTTTTTTATCTGCTCCAACACTACCAAGTTTTTTACTGTACAATTTTGTAGATGAAATAATCTGCTTTTTAAGAAGATTTTTCCTCACAAAATTATGAATACTTACCTAGACAATGGATCTAGTCAAATTGAGAATTAGGACAATTCAACCTCTGCTTTAATATTATGTTTGTTTCGAAAGCAAAAACAAAAGAATGAGGAATGAAACAAGAAATCACATTTCATTATCATAACTATAAAATACGAAAATACAAAAACAATTAATTGGTTCGTAACAATGCTGATGTTAACATACCGACTCAACACTGAACAACCACTCAATTATTAAATGAAATTCTATATTAAAATACTTATTTTAATCAATTTAACCTATCGAATACCTTAAAACCATATTTTGCCATTATCTTCGCTGCTACAGAACCACCAAATGATAAACCATATTTCTCTCCTGACACAGGAGTTTTGGTTGCCTCCCCTGGTGATGCCCCTTCATGGAGAGAAGGAGGTGGAGCTATTGCAACTCCACTGGCTCGAGGCGTCACAGGCTTCTCTTTCTCTTCTTCTTCTTCATCACTTTCTCGTCGCCCAGCAAATCCAGATTTACGACGATCATCTGAATTTTCAAATCTGCAATATGTTAATACAATAACAAATTCATTAATTTATTTTATTGATTACATTACAAAACACTTAAATCCCACTGTACTTAATATTACCTTTCACGTGCTCTTTTTTCCCTATCTTCTTTATTTTTCCTACGTTTTTCTTCTTCTTCTCGTTCTTTTTCTCTTTCCCTCATTTCTCTCAGATCTAAATAATAAAAATATTTAATGAGCTTAATGCAACAAAAACAAATTAAATAGAATTTGATTATTTTAAACAATACCTTTGACAACCTTCTCATAGTCGTTTGGCCACATTGGGTCATATTCACCTTCAACATTCCAATCAGAATCTCGTGGTGGTACATTCGTCAAAAGAGACCCTTTTCCTTCCTGAATTAGAACGTTATCGACTTCAAGAGGTAACTTCTAATGATATGCGTTTTGGACACAAATATACCAATTAAGAAAACCATATTACATGCATAATCTCAATAATCATCCCAAGTTTTGAAGATGTAAAACAATCTTGTAGCTGCAGTTCATTGATGTGTCATCACTATCTCATTACCTTTCCTGAATTATAGCTCCCAAAGCTTGAATTAGAATTTGAATCTTCTTCATCTTTCCTGGATTTTAGGTCAATCACAGGTGCAAGACTAGTACCAGCCTTCCGAAGAGCATCTCTTCTTGGCTAAATGAAGCAAAGCGGAATGTGTAACTACTAACAAATTATCTACATTGTTAGGGTTAAGAAAACAGAAAAATCTACTATACCTGTGTCTGGGCTGCCTTTCTCAACTGCATTTGGGATTGTAACAATTTAATTCCAGAAGACCAGCCAGCAACTTGTTCGCTCTTCTGCTTGGTATCCACATCATCGTACAGAGACATTTTTAAGAATTGTTATTAATATGGAAACACAAACGAATTCTTATGCTCCTTTCTGAAATGAATAGTCTATATTGAGAGAAAACACAGTGCCAAAGTTGTGATCTTGCTTCTGATGAATAGAAACATTACACTACATCACATAACACCAACGTCGTCCTTACTATAAGGTAAACTAATTACATCAAAACGTATATATATATCTTCAATTAATTTGAGTTTACACTTAAATTAAACGTGGTAGAACGAAGGGAGAAAAATCAGTAAGACGAGCACCAACGTGTAAGAAATTACACGGACACATAACCAAACTATAGTTCACAACTGTTGTAACAAGCGGCCATTGGCGAACCCCAAAGAATATTGATATAAACTGCAGGATGGTGCATGACGGGGACTGTGGGCGGTGGCGGGGAGGTAGAGCCGAAATAACCAGTGAAGTAGAATATAGCCAAAGAGTATGCATTGGTGTATATAGCCAAGTTGTCAATGATTGTGAACACTGTACAGAATTGAACCACCGAGCCAAGAAGTGAAGTGTTGTGAAGTGCTGCGCGGTGTGATTTGTCTGAATGCCCAAGTGAATAGGCGAGAGGTTTAAGGAATTCCATGGTATACTAAAGACGACCTTTGTATACTTATCCATTGATTATAATAAAACAAGTTTGATAAGCCACTGTCAAAGAATGTAAATCTCCTGAACTGTCATCGTCCTAACTTTAGACTTTTTTTACATCATTTTCCTTTAAGTGAGTTTCTTTTGTATAAAACGTAATTAAGAGTTTCCTAAAGCAGTAATAACCTTTATGTATTTACTTTACTTCTAAAGGTTCTGAATAGCATGTGTATGATGCTATTGCTTAGGAAGATGATCAGAAGTGATTTATGTAGCAAATAAAATAATATCACGATCTTCAGAAGTCGATTTTGCACTTTAGTACCAAAAGGACTAGAACTAATGTAGTTCCGTCACAGCGAGAGTATTAATAAGATTATAGCGCGAGTCCGTGTTATTCTGCATGAATTCAGTTCGTCGTTCGTGGTGTTCGTTCTCTAGGTTAGTAGCACGTGCCTCTGTTATGAGGATGAGTTCACTTGCTGAAAACGACGTCTGTGGAACTCGTGAAAATGAAACCTGTCAAACACGTGATGGTGATCCTTCTGTTATTCAAGAAGGCAAAGCGGAAATCCTTATACCAGAATCCAAAAACGTGTTCTACAATCCTGTACAGGAATTTAACAGAGATCTGAGGTACTACATAGTCAAGTTTGAATGCCCCAGTCATTTCCGTAGACCCATGAATGTAACATTGCTTTTAACAATATTTTAGCATAGCTGCTCTCACTGTCCTTGCTAAGGAACATTTCCAAAAATTGGAAGAAAAAAAAATCAAGGAAGTCAGTAATAAAACAGAAAAGTCAAATGAAATTGGTGGTGAAGTCCACAAGGTAGGCATACTGCTATCATATTTTGGCTTAACATTTGGCAAATGTATTCCTAGTTCCCCAGAATTTCAAAAATTAAAGTAATATTTTTATTTATATTCTTTAATGGTTGTGTTTTTAAGACATTAAGTTTGCAGCAGTTGTGCACTTACTGTATGTTCTTATTTATCTCAGTGGTATGTTTCCATTAACTACTTTCCTTAATTTTTGTAACTTGGAGAGTGTAGAGTTTATGCCTGTGCCATTTTTTTATTACAATCGTTTTCAGGACGGAATTGTTATTATTGAAGCCCTATCGGCTACTGGTTTGCGAAGTATTCGATATGCAAAGGAAATAAGTGGTGTTAAGCAGGTGATAGCAAATGACATATCTGAAACTGCTGTAAAAAGTATTAAGGAAAATGTAACATTCAATGAAGTGGATTCTTTAGTGACTGTGAGTCATGATGATGCAGTGTAAGTATTAATTTTGTTTTCCTAAATTAATGTGAATAAATTAATTACTTCCAAATTGACACATAATTTTGAAATTCAAGCCAATGTTCTAAACAATGAAGACAAACAATGCTCCAGTTTCATGGGCCTATATACAACCCCATATGAGACAAAATAATTACTTACTTTTATGATAGCATGTACAAAAGTAGAAATACGTATATTGAAGTTTATATTAATAGGTGCTGTAGTATTAACTTGTGGGTAAATAATAGTAGATGTCGGGTAAAGTATTCATATTTGATGTTTAGCATGCTGATGTACGCCCATCGTCACCCGTCCAAACGTGTCCATGCTGTTGACTTGGACCCATATGGTTGTCCAACACAGTTTCTTGATGCTGCTGTGCAGTGTGTAACTGATGGTGGCCTTCTCCTAGTTACGTGTACTGACATGGCAGTTTTAGCTGGTAATGCCCCTGAAACATGTCATGCCAAGTATGGTGCTATTTCATTGAGAACCAAGGCTTGCCATGAAATGGTTGGTTCGGTCTTGCATTTTTTGTCTTTCCTCATAGAATTGTTCATACAGTGCATGTTTTTAAAATGTTTTTTTATCCCTACCTCCTTTTGGGACTAGGGTCTGAGAATAATATTACAGTGTATTGAGACTCATGCAAATCGTTATGGACGATATATAGTGCCAATGTTGTCTGTGAGTGCAGATTTCTACATTCGAGTTTTTGTTAAAATATATTCAGGAGCAGCTATGTGTAAGAGATCTACAAGGTACGTTCTGTTGTGTGATTTCTTTGCTTTTTAATTAGGAATTTGTTTAATTAGGAATTGTTCAAATTGTATGTACATTTATTTCCAGCAAACTCTCTCTTGTTTTCCAATGTGTTGGTTGTGAAACACATGTTTTTCATCCCTTAGGAGTAGCACATAAATTTGGTGAGAAGGTTAATCAGTATAAGTTCTCACTACCACATGCCCCAGTTAATGGAGTTTGTGAGCATTGTGGACAGAAATTTCATGTATGTTGTTTTTTTAAAACCATCTTTACACATTATTGAGCTTCAGAATTTCAGATTTGTTTAGCTTTCTGATGTTTCAGATTGGTGGTCCCATTTGGAATGGTCCTCTTCATGACGAATCTTTTGTATCAGAGTTGATCAGCATCACTGATCCAGAGCGATTTAGAACAGCACGACGTATGGAAGGAGTGTTAACAGTGATACAAGAGGAGTTACCAGACGTTCCATTGTACTATTCAGTGGATAAACTATTTTCCACAGTTCGATGTGAAATAATGTCAATGATGTTATTTAGGTAATACTATTTATTGGTACATAATGTTTGTTAATTTTTATAAGGATATGTAGCTCACCTTGAAACAATTTTTTTAGGTCAGCGTTATTGAATGCAGGTTATCGAGTGTCATTGTCTCATGCCAGCAAGTACTCTATAAAAACAGATGCTCCAGCAAATGTAGTTTGGGATGTGGTACGAACATGGCAGCTCTCTCACCCTGTCAAGACTGAAAGACTTTCTAATGCTGGTTCTGCTATCTTAGCAAAATCACCATCAACAGTAGTGTCCTTGGAAAAACATCCTGATGCAAACCCAAATTCTCGGCAAATGGGTCTTGTGCGATTCCAGGAAAACCCACGACCTTTTTGGGGCCCGGGAACACGTGCAAAAACAAAGTAAGTTGTTTATGATCATTGATACTTAACATGGGGGGGGGGGCTCTGGCTGTGTCACAGCTTAAAAGGGTGTACCATCTGTTTGAATGAACTTATCTATGTCAAAGTGTGACTTTGAAATATGTTTTGAAGATAGGAAGTGGATGTTGGCGGCATTGTTAATTGATATGTGTTATTCTGAGTTGGACTTAGGTATTGCAACAAGTCGTGCCATTCAGTGTTTGGCAAGGATTGGAAGCTTATGTAAAGAATTGAAGAAAAAAAAACATTTTAAGAAACTTGCAAAAACAGACAGCCTACACCGGTTGTAGTGAAACCCCTGTTATAGTGAACTTAAGTCTCATATCACTTACATTACAAATAAGAATAAGAAGATTTGGTTATAGTGAAGTCATCATATGGAGAAGATTCGGTTGTAGCCATTTCATTGATTTTGATATATTATTCATGGTATTTGCTTCAAACAATATTTACGAGGTGCAATAAATATTCACCACAGAATTACTGAGTAGGCCATTCCATTTCTTCACTTGTACATTGTAATGTCAGCCGTTGTGAGTACTGTGTAATCTAAAGTCCCTGTGACATTTATTGGCACCATTGTCAGTTCAGCCAATTTCGCAATAAATAAATGCAGATTTTTCTTTTGAGAAACAGTCCAACCACAAAGTGTGCAAGCTGAGTTCACTTGAACAAAAGGAAGAAGCTTCGATTACATCAGTAACATATCCAACAGCTTGAGTTGTTTATCTGAAGTGGTTTTGATCAAAGTTTTGACATCATTTTTTTGTTTTTGTCATTTTTAAAGCATTTTAAGAGCATTTTATTGATAATTTTAGCAATGTTTTAGATCATCAAAATTCACCCCTTACTGATGACCTTATACCACTCAGTCTCACTGTGGAAACAAAGGCCACGTCCTGCATGCGCTGCATCTAGCATCAATGCTTGCTTCAGTTGCAAGCTTGGTGTTACTTGATATTCCATGGGATAAAGCGTATTCATTTCTACGTAGGCAGCAGGAAACAGTGACTGCCCCAGCCCGGCGATATCCATCGTGCCATACGGAAAAGAGATCAGTTTCATTAGTTGTTTGTGCCATCCCGCTGCCGAAAGCATCTCATTAATATATGGAGAGTAAAAGGGCCTCCGGAGTATGTAATGGTGTTCCAACAGTGCAAGAGGCATTGAATGGTGTAAAGACTATTAAGATACTTAGACACTAAAGAAAATGCAGAACTAAGTATAGAGAGAGCATGAACACGGGAGAAGGATCTCGAGAAATTACTAACAAAAAATGTACAAAGCAAATAATTGAAAATAATTGATTTTTGAAAGACAAACATCTTGAAATAATTATTCGTGCTGTTAATGTATTTCGCTGTATCTCTATATTAATAAAATCAAATTATGGAGAAAGTATATTTAATTATGACATCATCAGATACAGTGAACCAAAAATGTTGGTACCCAGAAGTTCACCATACTGGAGTCAACTACATATGCCTAGTAGCATTACTTCTGTGAAATTCATTAATATGAAAATGAGATTGCTGAAGTTAAAATTTAATATACAATTTTTGTGTTTAACAGTTTTATTACATAAAATGTGGTCTGAAATAAATTCCCAGTAAATGATATCAGAATGTTTACATAATGTGCATTCTAATATGACATTGTGAAGTTTGCTAATTAAAATATTTTTTTCAGTTTTCAGGATCAGAAAATGGAAAAAAGTATTCAAAACCAAGGAAAGCATAGTAAGAAGCAAAGAAAGCGCAGAAGATCACATTCAAAAAGTCCTGAAATTCATAAAAAAAATATGACTGAAAATATATCAAATTCTTCAGATAACAATAATCTGTCAGAAAAAGATACAGAAATGAAGGAAGATAAATGATCAGTGAAATTTGTAAATAAAATATTTTAATATTTGTTTGGTTACCTTATTCCTACCGGCACATATTCCCATGTCCAACGAATATGCATTTGAGCAATTGCTCTGTACGTCCTTAGTCTAATAAATTTTTTCTTTAAATTTTCTAAAACTATTACACAGGAAAGAAATAAACAATTTGTGACTTTACAACATCACATTTTCTCGTTTTAAATCTGACAATTATGTATTCCAGAATGAACAACTTAAAATCAAATGTATTTATTGTCATTTATCTTGAACTGTACAGTGTTGCCACATGGCTTTGAGAGCCTCTTCGCCAAATTGTCAGAGAGAAATAAATTTAAAGGAAAATAGGGAATAGAAAATAAAATATTTTATTACTTCCGGGGCCCCATTCAAATCAGGAAGACCACAGCCGATCCTGTGCGTGTATGCCCATGCCTAGTAGCTTCAGTAATAGAGCCTCTATACTTTACACACCTTCCATTGGATAAGCATAACTATCAGACCTGGAGTAACTTTTATTTGACAGTTATAAATCATATGGAGTAATTCTCCTTGAATGTAGTCATTTTCTGTGACTTAATTGCCTTTTGTCCCTATTGGCCAGGGGTGTCATTCGTCCAGGGACCCTCAGTGTACAGAGCTGCTTAAGCTCCGTAACTTGGAACTTAGTCGGCAACCGATACCGGAATATATTTTAAGCCTCAACCACATTATTTCAAAAATATCTTTAAACTTTTTGCTTAAAGAACGCGTAAAAGTGGAGTTGATTCGATTTTCGGTAATACGAGTACCTCTAAATTTTCGACAAGCGCGAAGTTCAGCATCTGCCAAAACAATTTCGAGGATTAAGTTTTCTTAATGACATCTGATCTTCAGAATTAGATATTTAAATAATACCGTTGTCATTTCACGAGTCGGGATTGGATCAGGGGCCGCGGTGGTGGATAATTATGTAACTTTTATTACACCGTGCTTTCATTCATCTGATTTCCACCTGCATAGGACTTAGGTAGAGTCTAGAAGGTAAAAAATGTCGGTTGTTAATGAAGCTTCTGATCCAAAAGTTGATAGGCCCTCTGATTTGTTGAACTTAAGTGTTTATGTAAGTGTGCAGGCAGTTGCGGATATAGGGAGTGGGGCATGCCCCCCCCCACACACACACACACACGGCCTAATGTTTTTGTTTGTTCCCTTCCTTTATTTGGCAAAATGGATTTAAATATTTGTTAGAATTATGAAAAAATTAATATACAATATAATAAAACATGTTTATTATTTAACAAAAGTCTACGGCGCCCCCTCAAAAATGACCGTCCGTGCGTAGGCAAGAAGAGATTCCTTGGCGCAATCGTGACCTGTTGGAACGTCGGTGTCGGGTGGGTTGCGTCCTGCAGGCGCCATGGATAGATAGGGCATCGCTGCTAATTGCGCAGAGGCCGCCGCGCCGACGGAAAGTGAACCACTGACTGTAAAGGCCCATTCACAATGCAAACGTAAACATAAGAATGGCGTTGACATAAAAGTTAGGACTACGTCCATAAGCGGACTCATTCACAATACGTTCGCATAACACATTAGACGTTTACTTAAAAGCTTGCAAGCTTCTATGCTTATGCTTACGGAAGACATAAGAAATGAACCAATCACAGAAAGGTAACTCAAAATCGGTAATCGAAATTGGAGCGAAGTCGATAGAAGAACTAACGCCGTATGGAACATAGAGTCGATATCTTGAAATCGATTCTCACATCCAACCAGAAAGTCTCACAGCCAATAGGAACTTATTTTGCTTACGTTTATGTTAGGCATTGTGAATACTTCAGTCTATCGCTTATGTTTATGTCTATGCACTATGCTTATGTTACGCTTGCATTGTGAATGGGGCTTAATGTCGTTAACGACGGCGTGCGCACGCGTTCGCCGCGAAGTCCTTGCAATGATCTTAATTATTTACTTTTGAATGAAGTAGTTAATTTAATTCCTGAATACCGATATAAGAAGGAAGAATTAAGAGATTTTATTACGGCAGTAAAAACTAATGTCATTAACAGCACCACACGATCAGGAACGGCTGTTAGCATTTCCGCAAAGCAAACTCCGCGGAGAAGTAGAACAACCATTACAATTTAAAGACCTGTCTTTTGGGAAGAAAATAAAATCTCATTTAAGGGAAGTTTATGGCACGCAGCGTACTCTTGATTTCTATGCTTGTGAATTATTCGAGCCATGTCATAAAGATAGGAGTGTAAGGAAGTGGGCTAATCGGTTCAAAGCCCCTTTCAGGAAATTTATGTCAAGTAAGTTTAGCTTCGTGTCCGGTTGAACAGTGAGTTGGAATTCACCCTACCCAAGCCCGGCCGAACGTCATTTACACAAGGCTCAATAAATACACGAATTCAAACTAGTTCGCAGCCGCGATCTCAACACCCGAGTGGATGCTATAGAGATTGCCTTGGAGGAAGAATCAGCCATTTGTTGTCAAATTTCTCCGCGAAATAAAGCAAATTTTAAAAGAAATGCACCAGTCGCTACTTCAAATAAAAGTCCTGTTCGAGTTCCCAGCAGTGTCGGAGGCCCCGCACCTGTTTTGCGCGCGAATAACCCCTTGACGTGAAAAGGAAGGCCAAACTACCTTGCAGCAGCACATGATGCTTCAACATGCTGCGCCGACTGATGCGGTGTCAGTCTTATTTTCTCAAGAAGATGTAAATACGTCCAAGTTACGAGATATTGTTTATGTGCAAAGTAACGTAAATGAAAAAAAGGCGCTATTAGTAGATACAGGAGCTGATGTCAGTTTAATTAACACCTCTTGCAAGAAGCAGGAAAATGTTTCTACTGACGGACTTTGATACCAAAATGAATATGGAATGTCTATGTAGAAACTAAAGGACCAGTCCAACATTACAGATTTCCCCAGGATTTACCGTACATTTTTTCTTCGTAATTTCCTCTGACGCTCGCTTATATGTTGATGGAATTTTAGGGTGTGATTTATTTCTAAATCATTTTGAACACGGCCCTCGGATATCTTCCTTTACTGACCTCGACACATGTATTACATAATGTAAATGAGGAAATTCCCGCACGGTCAGAAAAATGTATTCTCTGCCCACTGATATCTTGTCCTTAGGATTAATAAATCAACGCGAACTTGCGCCTAAAATTTTTATAGCCGCCACGCTTGTGGATTGACAAAATTGGCGATGACTTTTCCGTATTCTTAATATTAATGAAAATTTGGTTCGAATCCCGACCAAAAAGGTTCAGTGCACACGTTTGTGAACGCAATAGAAATAATGATCAAAATTAAGCATTTTCAAACCCCAGATTCTGGAAATCTTTGATACCAGTGTAAATAAACATTATATGTCAGTATAAATGGATTGTTCTCAATAATTTAAAGCCAGCTCCCCTTTAATATATTTACTGCATTTTTACTTTCTTCGAGAGAAAGCGCTGTAATGTAATGCTGCGAGAAAAAAATGGCGAATTTTCGGCAGAAAAACTTTTATTACTAAGTCCTAGTAACGAAAAAGTGGATAAATCCAGTTGCTAAATTTAGGGGGAAAATCCTGTCACACATGGGGTACACATAATCCATGTTTTGTCAGTTCAGGTCGCGGTCGCGTCGTTTTCCTTCATGACAGAAGACGGCAGCTTGCAGCGGCGGACGAACGCAAGTTCGTATGGCTCGAACCTTTTGGCGGAATGATGACCGGGGTATATTTTATACAAACCGTGACTGCGTACGGCAGCCACGTATCCCAATCCGCTCCGTCCTCGCGTACGTAGAGCCTCAAGTATTTATTTAAAGCAGGCCCGTCAAACCGCACCCGCACGAGCCACTTGCCCGCCAGGAAAGCCCAGCACTCCTACAGCCATGGGCAGCATTCCCTGACTCCGCTGTTCTTTCCCCTCCAAATCCAGAAAGGGATGAACACGCGCAAGCTGAACGAATATATGTTCCCCAGATTCGCTCCATTGAACGACCGGGATTTGAATTATGAGTATAATCTTTACTGTTTATCACTATTTCATGTTTATTTTCTTTTTAAATGCAAAATTTTAAAAACGTTGTGACAAACAAAAGGTCAAACAAAGACAACAAAATGGCAAACATGCCAAAGGCCAGAAATACGAAGACCGTTTATTTCCTTGTTTTCGTTTAGTTTCGTGTTTTTAAATCATTCAATTATTTATTGTGTTTAGCAATAATGTGAAATAATGTGTCATTTGTCGAGGTTGAGGGGCGTACACTTTGCGTGTCTTCATCCGTTGAAGTTCTGCCTGCTTGCCTTTCAAAACACTGTGTGCAACTCATAGAAGAGTCTCTAAAAGCTTCCTGAATCATTATGAAAGTCTCCATTGCACACTTTTTCCAAGTTTAAAACAAAACTTCACACAAACGCGCTGTTCCTCCAAATTTTTTATTGTCGCGCCGACGACAATTGTACAATACTGTGGTGTAGGTTTCGACCCTGCTACGCAATGCGTTAACCTGCAGCGGCGAGAGAGATGGCGATGTCTCTAAATAGCGCTGCCTGTCTGGTTTCGCTCCAATGAGCGGTTTGCGCGCACTGAGCTCAGTTTGGTATTTTTTTGATCACACCTTGTATTCTGATTTACTCTGAAAATTTCCGAGAAGCTGATGCTACTATGTCGTACCATTCTTCTGAGACAAAAAACTTATTCCCTTTTCCGTTTGATTTTATCAATTTGAAAAAAAGGCTCGATCATAGGATACAAATGAATATCCATGGTTAGCAAAGAGGTGATTTATTTGGAAACATTTTCCGGTGAAGTGAGCTTAATAATTGGGCCATCAAGATATTAATGTATTGGTCGGCCCCTTTGTCACTGAAGAGATGTAGGGTTTTAACATTTTGAGGCATCAATGTCTCTATAATGTTAAGAATTGATAGAGATTCATTTGAACCTTTTTTCTCATTAGTTTCGTTGCAGAAATAGGTTTTATGACATTCGGTCTTATAATAGAATCCCTTGTAATAAATACATATCTGGCGTAAGTAAAAGATTTAGCAGTACTTTTCCTTTTTTTGTATGTGTTTCTTTCCCATTGATCTTCATTTTTGTCCAGGACCAGCTAAGGTCTAAATGCAAGCTCCGGCTATTGTCTGGTTCTTGCTCTCAGAGTAGAAAATGGCAAAGTCTGCTGATAGATGGTAGGACGGGCTTCGTGTATTTGTGAAAATCTCATTTTCGCAAAATTGTTCATTATCTGGTTATTGCACTCAAGCCTTCGATTGTGGTATACATAGAATTACCAGTGCCTGAGCTAGGCAATTTTTGGCCCGGGCAATGCTGAAAATATACCAGCTCCTCCGCCGAAAAAAAAAAAAAAAGAAGTGAAAGTTGCAACCAGAAACTATGCGAGTTATTTTATTTCAACAAATAACAAAAATTACGTGTAATCTAGAAAAGGTTTTAAATAATAGTTTTAAGTAAGTAAACTTAGTGATCTGATGAGCTTAAAACGATAAAAAAATGTGTTTAATTAGTGCTTGATAGAACACATCTTAAATTCATAAAATAATAAATATGAATTTCAGTAGAACCTATTTTAATGTTAGCTTCATTTAATTCATTTCATAGAGTCCTACCTTATAAGTAATGACTATACTAACTAATTTAAGTAAAAAAAAGTTATGAAAATATTAGCTACTCTTCCGCGACTTATAAACTTACGATAACGATTTTCTCGGAGTTCTAATTTTCTTTTAAAAAACAAAATCTTACTATTTTTCCCCATCAGCCCATCATCGGCCCCTGTTTTCCCCTCGCCAATAGCCACGTATTGAGGGGGGGTATATTAAAATAACCATTACTAAAAGGCGAGAAAGACGTGTTGTTTGCAACACTACTTTAATACATAATGGCTATTTTGTCTTCATGTAGACCATGTTTTCGGTTATGTTTTGGCAGACTGCTGATAGCAACGTTTGGTGATGTTTGCAGTTAGTGATCGTAGGCTGCCTACCTTGGTTTGAGATACAGAAGAGTTGGCGAAATGTCAAGGCCACAGTGCTTACAACTAAAGTGTTATCGACGTTGTGCGCGTAGCCTGAAGCAAATCCAATGAGCCAAGATAATCACCTGGAAAGACACCACCGGCTCGATGATGCAGGTTGATTACAGAAGATTCTCGCAGCCTGAGCGACTCCCATGGCGCATTTAACGAAATCTGCGAGCAACCCTCGCGAATCCCAATAGTGTGGACTTGCGTTGCTCGTTTTCACCGAGCGCTGATCATTCGTATTCGCTCTGGGCACCCACCGGCGTGTTGCTCTTTTAAGACACATCAAAGGGAGCGAACATTCGCCCAAACAACATCAGCCCTGTTCGTTATTGGGCGAGCAATAGCTCGCTGCTCGGGCGAAATGCCGATGTGTGGAGCCCCTTTGCAATATGCACAAGGCTAGATATACATATTGCTGTGAATATTACCCGAAGTCTCCAGCAACTCAAGCAGACACATTTGAACTAGGTCTAAGAGAATTCGAGATCCCTCAAAGGAAAACGGATAAAGTGTGAGATTCAATTTTGTAAACCACAAATATATAGAAGCCTACTGAGATGCTGAGCTTGTAAGGACAAAAAGACGATAGGCGTTGCCACAGAGTGCAAGAATTTTGTAGCCGCTTGTTTTGCTGAGTGCCAGTAGTGTAGCGAGCAACGACTTCACAGATGTGTCGCTCTGTCGTCAATGAAGCTGAATTGATGCTTGGAGTGATCAGGCACATCCACTGGCGTGGCTGAGAACAGCATTGCTGGAGGAAATTCGGGAACAGTTGAAAAACAATCCAGTGCCTGTACGCTACCCGACTGGGCATTTCAACCTCTGACTTCGTCATCACTTTCAAGTTGTTAACTAAGACTTCAACCAACCGCTATTTCGACCTAGACTTGTGCTTTCAACTAGAAACTCCATCACAGAGTTCATTTTTAACTTGTGCTCTGACCGGCACTGGGTGACTGCAGTGTCGCTTTGATCCGGAGTCCTCGCGCCAATCACATCGCCACGATAACGTGACATCACTACGCGGCGGCACAATGGGTCTATGGTTGAGCGTTTCGTGTTCCGACCTGAGTGAACGATTAAGCGAACGACTAAGATGAGTCGCAGCAGCCGTCGTGCAGCGGACCACCGCCCGGGCGGCTTGTAATTTGTGCCCGAACACGTGGTGAACACGAACCTTGCCCCCCCCCCCACAAGAGAATAATTGGACCTCCGCACGCTGTGCCGCAGACTTCTAACCTGGCGCCCAGCAAGAAATGCGTCAAGTTGGAACAGCCCAGTCAGCACCGAATGAAACATCGTCAAAATGATTTATTGCTAATTAATTACTCCGTAACGTCGTATTAATTTACACGTATTTTGGGGCGAAAAACGGAGTGAGCTGCTTTGACACGAAGCAGCACACTAAGTTAAATTCGGGCCGTAATTGAGGAAACCTCAAATGATTTATTGCCTATTTATTGTGCAACAATTTACAATTAATTGCCACTATCTTCGGGACGAGAAAACGGGTGACTGGGCGAAAACACACAAGTTAAATTCCGGTCAGCACCTTGTCCCCACTAAGACATGCGGGAAGATTTTTTATGAGGGATGCTGACTTAGAGGATAGATGCCACCAATACGGCATATTAGTGGCGGGAAATAATTGTTTCTTTTTGAATTACCTAAATCAGACGGTCGTAAAAAAGTATAAATTGTAAAACTTTTTTGTAAAAAGTACATTTATTTGCATGCTCATCTTCATCACCTTAATATCAATTAAATGTGTTGCGGAATTTATTTTACTTGTTTTATTGACCATGCAATCCAACATCCAAAGTGCCAACACATTACAATATGAGTATTGAATTTACTGAGGTAAAGGTTCCAAACGTAAAAAAAAATATTAATTGTTAAGTGATTTAGTTCAAAAATCTTGTTGAACCACCTAAACAGTCACTACAAAGTAAGTATAATCAAAATATGGGAAAATTTAGTCACACAAGATATACTATGTAGTAAGAATTTACAATTGATATTAGATTTAGTACTTTTTCCAAATATTTTTATATGTGACATTATTTATACATTTCCCAAAGAAAAAAATTATAAGACCAAGGAAATATCGATATATAAAGAACTGATTTTACAATTGAATAAATTATCGTCAATTATTTTTGTGACATTTGGTAACATACAGTTATTTAATGCAACTAATAAATGAATTCAATTATGTATAAATTTAACAATTGTATTCTAAATAAATATTGTAATATATACACTTGTTTCTCATTGAAGTCTTCCCCTATGTGGATTCTTCCCGCAATATATGCCACCCTAACGTAATTTATGATAGGATAAATTTTCGGAATATTTTTTAGCCGTTTGTCAAAAACATTCTCGCCCGCCGCAGCAATCCACACATTGGGTACGAGACGCACTGAAAGGCTTTCGCTCAAAGGGCGAGCGTGGTCGGTGTTTCACTCATGAAAGTTGTCAACTGCCCATTTACGGCCTGTGTCACATGAGCGTTGCGTTCACGCACGCGACGCGCGTCACCCAACGTTAATGACAGCTGCCTCGATGCCTGCGCACAAGAAATCGCGCATCGTAGCACTGCGTCTTATCTGCGGAAATCTTATGCGGAACGGCATACGATCACTCTTGGCAATACGGGTTGTGTCCACAGTTCAAGCTACAACGTAAGTACCGCACGTTTTCTAGTTTTCAACGCGATCCCCGAGAGTTGGCAACATTATAGATTTTTGATATACAATTTTTTTTCTCAAAAATATCTCCAAGTTATTTATTTAAATTTTCTCCACGTGTAAGTGAAAATAATGTTTAACAAAAAGTGGTGCAAGACCTATTTCCGCCAAACTCAGAAATTTAGAAACTTGCATAAGTACAATATTGGTAACAGATTTTTGCCTTAAAATCCGATTTAAAAACTCAGATCTTTAAAAAAGGTCATGTACACTTATTTAAATGTGTTTTTCATGTAATTTCTGCTTGAAGTAAATGTAAATTATAATATCCATAGCTAGAACTAGAGACACTTAAAAAGAATAGTGCAGATCTCAGTTTCATTGATCTCCTTGAATTTTCAAAAATTGCAAAATTTGGAAAAAAGCGAGGAAGTATGTGTTTTTGGAGCACTACTAATTAAGTAAAAGATAGGTTTGCACTAGCCTTGGATGTGTGGTGGTAGAAGTTACTCAGTAAATTTTAATTTTCTCGGATTATTCAGTGAAATGGAAGGTATATTCACAGAGACATTTCTAAAGTGCATGAATGCAGCCATCCAAACATTTAAAATTTTGAAACACCACAAGAAAAAGGTTTACTTTACACAAAGTGTAAGAAAACTTATTTTTATTTTATATAAAACAATATTTACATGCCAATATTAAAAATAAATATGGCTATTTTTTATTATAAAGTTTGTACAATTAATTTATTTTCTTAAGTGACTATTTTTTCAGACGATTCTTCTTCCTCTCCAATGCACGAATTTCACCAAGTTGAGTAGCAGCACTTCCAAATATTTCCTTAACTTTCTGGAATCGTTCCTTATCACTAAAAAGTAAGATAAAATAAATTCATTTGAAGTTTTACCATTTACAGAATACAAGAACATCAAGGTAGTTTGTTTTTGGACAATTTTTAACACACACCTCTGAATAGTTTCCTTAAACTTCAATTTTGATAGGAATGCATTATCACGGCGAATCTCACGCAAAGCAGCTTTTTTCTCTCGTTTGATTTTGTGTAAAAGTCTCTCTCTTTCCATTTTCTCAGCACCCATTGGGCGTATTCGCTTTCCATCACAGCTGAAAACATTTATTACAGTATTTGTACCATTTTTAATAAAGTTTATCATTTATCACAGACAAATCAAGTGGACACATGAATAATAAAGGAAGAAATGGGAAAAAGAAAATAAATTGAATGAAAAGAGGTCATGTCATATACCAATTCTTGTTACAATCCTACATAAAAATTACATTTAATAGAACCAGTATATTCAATCCTTCAGGGAGTTTCCTCAATTTAAGGCAACTAAGGAACTTTAATGCACACGAATTTAATGATAGAAGTTATTAATCATGTCTAATAACATTGATGTTTGCTAACATCAATGTTTTGTTATCGCGTGTAACGTCGCATAACTAGTCTGAACAACGAATACAGCTGAAGAGGCTGTTCCTCATAATGATTTAATCTCTCTGGTATAAATATGACAGGGCCTCAGAGAATAACATGTGGCATGGTCCAAGTTGGCTGATATTAGCATTTAAAAAAATAAGATTCCTTAGAAAATCAGTTTTAATTACAGTTACCAAGAATTAAATAAATTCTGACAATGAAGTTCCCAATTGTTTTGTGTGGATGTGGAAGCTCAGAGAAAGCCTAAACATCAACTTCCACAACTCACTCAACTGAAACCAAAAGTTCCTTGCAATTGATAGTTACGAGGCCGAGTATTACATACTTGGAAGCCATTGCAATAAAATGATTTTTACTTTCCCATATACATACGTATATATGGAGTAATATATGTAGTATAGGGAAAGTTATGAAATGTTTTGCGAATAAACAGAAGATTCACCAGAAGAAATTCATTGTCGTGCCCTGATAACAGAAAAGTGGATAAATTCAGTTGCTAAATTAAGTAAATAAAAATTCTTTAATACGTGGTGTAACCAGAATTCCTGTTTCGTGGGTCCTTGATGCCGAAAAACTTAATTGACGACAAAACGTCCATCTGTGAACACCATTAGCTCCTAAACCGTACGTACGATTTTTATCAAAATAGATTTTCCCGGTCCATCTGACACAACTCAAGGCGCCGGTATTTTGAAAAACTTTCTTCGGACATTTTTTCAAAAATGGCTCCAATTTTTACTTTGAATTTCTTGTATACACTTATAAAGGTTGCATAGGTCCGATTTTCACGGTTAACTCCGGATTTTTGACAATTGCAAAACTTTTGAGTTTTTTGCGACGTGTTCCTACAAGTATAAAATTAAAGATAGAGATCTTTTCTTGAAATAAAATTTATTCTCTGTAGTAGTGAGATCTTTCATTAATGTCATGTACATTCTTTGAATATTTTAGTATTTTTCACGCAATGCAATTAAAAAATAAATAAATTTAAAAAAAAATAATAAAACAAGATTTTTTCAAAAACTGCTTTAAATTTTTTCTCCAAACTTTTGGAAAAGATTGTACTAAATGCACTCTATACAATGTCATAAATGCCATATCGCTCAATTTTTTCGTGTTTTTTTATTTTAAATTACAAGAAGATTTTTTTTAAAAATATCTCTTATACCTTGAATATGCACACTATTGCATTTGCGACAAAGTGCTTGAAATGACTTCATATGAAGTTTCTCAAAATTCTATGAAAAGAGGCTTAAATTTACAGTAGTGCTTAAACGCCATTTTCTTAAAAGCACCTCCAAATTTTTCGAAGAAAATTACAATTTAGGGTGAGGTTTTACTGTTCTTTATTCTTAAAACACTATTTCCATTCTACTATTATAAAACTGAAAAATTAAGAAAATTTCAAAAAAAGTTACTTTTGGCGGCTGGCAAGAGTATGTGGCAAGACCAAATACCTAACTGAAACCAAAGGAAATAGAAAACTAATATGGGAAAGTCTGTGCCATTCTGTAGCACCACTAGTTTTAAATTTCATTCCAGCTTTGGGACACTTCAATTGCCATGAACATTAGTGCATGGGGTTGCAAGACGACGTCTTGACTGTGGCCAATTTCCTCCCTCCCAACCCTCCACTTCCAAGTGTGACTAACCACTCTGGCCAGACCCCCATCTCAGTGTGACTTTTCCAGTGTGTATACATTTTCCCCTAATTTATTCAAACAAGTTATACAAGTGGCTTGTAGCAGCAAAAAATGTTGAATTAATATACAAAAATGGTTTTCCAAAATGTAGTATCCACACTGCACAAGAAAAAAAACAACAGTTGTTTAACACTACAATTAATTAATTGAAAAAACACCCCCCTCACACTACAGTCTTCATGAATTCTGCAATAACATAGAATGGCATACATGGATGCACCATACAATTGTTATGTACCAGTTCCATTTCAAGTAGATAAAATAAGTTGGTGTTCCATAATAAAACACGTGAATAGATAATATTTATTTGGCAGATGGCCTATTCCTTAAATCCTTGCTGTCATATGATGTGTCATCAGCAGGGCCATATGTAGTAAGAGCAGAATGAGAATAGGTGGATTATACGAATTTTTCAGTCAAAATCAACATTTTCATTGACTTGGATTTTTCACAAAGTTCTGGGTATCCAACAAAATCATAGGTATCTCTCACATGACCAGAGTCAGCATAATTTTCTTTCAATTTCTGCACGTATAAGAAACTAGTAATGTAGTAACTAATTGGATGTTCAGAAGATGCTGCATCTTAGGCACAGGTGGCAACGTTTCAGGCCCCATTCTGAGACTTCCTCAGGGCCAAATGCCAAACGTTGGCACCTGCCTAGGACACAGCATCTGCCAGACAGATAAGAAGTTCAGACTCCGGCAATGGAAACCTATGCTCTCAGTAATATAGATGTTTTTAATATCCCCCTCAATTCCTGGATATCTAAAGAAACCAAAGACACCTCTCAAAAAACATGCATAGTTTTCTTTCAATTTCTGCATGCATGGGAAATAACAGTTCGGTATATATCCTTCATAAATGGTGGCCTGGAATACACACTTAAATCAGTAATTTTAACATAGAATGACATTTCAACTTAGACCAGGATGTAGCATTTTGTAAACAGAAATATTTTGCAAACTTTTTGAATTATTGTAATTTGGTAAATTTCTCTCCCCTCACAATCCAGTATTCATCTGAATAGGGGGAAGGTAAACTACTGACACCACAGTTGATCTACAAATTTGATTCTGGATGGTGTCACTGACGTTAAACATACCACACATTTACTGCATCCTGCCATTGTTTGATGTACACGACTATACAATGATACAAAAAAGGTCTCGTGAAATACATACGATTCAGGCTCATACTACAAGGTTTAGCTTAAGAGGATGGCAGCACAGGAGGTGGGCAAAAAGAACTACCAACAATAATAGATACAAAATTATAGACATTATGACCTGTGCTGCAAGTCTTCACTGCAAAAGAATAAACATAAGAATAAGTGATTTATTCTTGATGATCCAGCCTTGTCTAATTAGGTCTTCTAAGATGCAGGAAATCAGAACTAAAACCTATTCTTGCTAAAGCATGAAAAAAAAAATCAACCATACTAAACAACTAATATAAGTTATTAGGATAATTTAAAGCAACGAGTATCATGAAATCGCGATACATGTCCATACATGACATCTCAATGAACTTCAATGTCTAGAAAGAGTACATATTTTTAAGAGCTTTGTTTCAATCATTAACATAATTACTTGAGAATTATCAGAAGTAACCCATTACAAATTTTCAAAATACATTGAGTACTTAGCAAATCTCTTCAAGTGAACTTCCGAATCATTACAGATTTTAATTCACAAAATTTTTAACTCCGGTAATTGTCAAGAGAATCATATAGCAAGAAGTTAAGCAAATAAAGTTAACAGAAAAGAAGGTAGAAACCAAATAATTAAATTCCTTTTAGGGCGCAATCAGACAGACATTTGTTATAAAATATCATTCTACTTACACAGTTTCAATCTTGGGTTCGTAGAGTCTCAATGCTTTTGGTCTTTTCCTTTCAACGACCAGGAATTGCAGTGTCTTCTCTTTCAATTTCTGGAAGGCTAGTGATAATTTTTCTATTTCAGTTTGAACTTTGGTAGGATAATGATGAATTGGCACTTTGGACAACAAAACTGAAGCACGATAAAACATGTTAGGACTTGCTTGGAGATAACTAAGATTCGACACAAATTCACCAAGCATTGCCACTGCACTAGCTAAAGCCCTGATTTTGAAGCTTGTGTCAATTGTCTCTTCAGATAAATCTGCCACCTTCATTTGAAAAGGTGCATCTACATCTTCACTGAAAATTAAATTAACAAATTCATTAGCACCCATTCTTTACTTCCTTACAGGGTAGATCACATAGTTTTTCGTTCAAAATAGACAGCAAAGTGAAGAAGACAAAAATAATGATATCACATTCTTTAATAATTTACTTTCAATTTCCTCCATGGAAATTATGATGGTGGTGATGTATGGGTAGAGGGTGTTAAAGACAATGATTTGAAGATAGGCGGAAATAAAATGGTGTGTGCTCATTGATAAGCACACAGTTTTTCAAAAATTTTCATTCATAGCTAATAGCAGATTTGTCAAGAAGTTTGATTCTGTCATGAACAACAAAATTCCATCTTCACAGAAAAGTGACTAAACATCCTTTACCCAATCATCATCAATCCATATCAAAATTTTTTCCTTCAAAGACGTCCTTTTCAATCACTAAAATTTATTTTAAAATTTTTTTACAAAAAGCCTCAAAGTTTAACATCATGTGCTAAAAAGTTCCAGAAACATGTGAAAAATTGGAAATTCAGAAATTTTAAAGAAAATTGAACTTATACCTTATTTATAATTGCATTTTGCTTCATTTAAGCAAAATACTTAGAAACGAAAATTGAAGCCATTTTAAAGAAAAGTTTTAAAAATTCTTTCCCGTACATTACAAGATCCATATCTAATTTACAGACCCTAGATTTTGGCATGATCAATTGGGGAAATCTCTTAAATTAAAAAAATTGTGCAAATACTTTATGTGCTAGTGTTATTCGCAGTCACTATGCTGGAGAAAAAAAGAAGACAGTATCAGCAACCCCACACACTGCAATTCTGCTTAATCAGCATCAATGTTTTGTAGTATTATGTAACGTTTACTGTTCTATGTACACTCTGTGTATACTAGTACACAAGAAAATATAAATACAATATAAAATGAAAATTTAATTTCCTATATTTGACATTTTTAATTTTAAGAAAAGCATCCAATTCTATGAGGAAACTTCTGAATGACAATCATTAATTTATTACAGTAACGAATAATGCAGTGAAAGTAAAGGCTTCAAAATCTGATTTCCCTGGTGGATAGAGTATTATGAATCTACTGAAATCATGTTCCCGCAACAGCGCATACCATGATTGTTCAATCGCCAATAAATTCAGCTGTAGCTGTATTGCGACTTGCCAATTGTTACTGTCCATTGTCCTCTCTCTTGAGGAAAATAAGGACACTGAAGTTCAAACACAAGTAAATATATAATTTGTGAATTCTTGTAAATAGAAATATTACGCTCTCCACTTCCATGGACATCGCGTTCCTTATAGAACCACACATAAATTTGCTGAAATATTTTCACCAAGATTTTGCAAAATTTTCAATATCCTAAAGTTGCTAGTATTTGAGTTCTCAAACCAGAATGTCATTTTAATACACGAGGCTTACATTCAAGCTTCCCTTCCCTTGCAAACCCCACTCAGTCCTCTCTCAACGAACTCACATCCATAGTAACCAATACCACATCCCTCAATTGTGTTTTTTCACGGCTTCAACAAATTTATATTTTCCTTTTGTAACAATCGGTAAGAAAAGAATGAAATGTACTGTGCAATGCTGCTTCAAATATCATTTAACATGATTAGTTTTACTTTTCTTTTTATCTACTGTATTTTCATGTATTATAGTTACATGTACTTATTAGAAAATATTGTTTGTTTTCCAGGGTCTCTGCAATTTGCATGAGTAAATACAACATTTAAGAAGAGTTGGTGCCTACCACTATATTACACTGCAACATTTCTTTTCCCAAACCCACTGGTCAAATATTTGGAACATTCAATCAATAGACAGTAAAATAATAGATTTTGTCCATTAATACAATATGTCTCAACAGTTCAACCCTCTTTATGTCATAAAAGCATAAGATGGCTTACATGAAATTAAATTGTAATCTACTGACACGAAATATTTTTGAAACACTCCCTTAGGCTTCAATGTATTTCTGAGTTCATTTAAACACGTTATGTGTTTGTTTCTAGGAACAAGTCCTTGTAAATTTAATGAAGACATTTAAGTGAACTGGGGAGTTATTCCCAAAAATTACATTCATTGTTTCATTTAAACAAAAATTGAAGGGCATTAAAACAATGATAAATCAGGGTTACCAAAATTGGATAAGCTACGACCAGCACATGTGGAAACTCTCACTTTCTGTCAGAAAGCTGTGGAGTTTCAATGTTCTGGAAAATAATGGCAGGACTTGTGGGTAAAGGAATCTAGGTACTTTAATTATATTCCTGATTTGAGTTATTAGAACTCAATAAGTGACAAGGCACACTGTTTTCTATGGAGACCACAGACAGAAAATGCTGGCAAAATTGCCTCAGACATAGTCAATGACAATCATCACATAGTCTCTAGCCATGGAAGTCCTGAAAGAAAATTTCTTCACTGCGTTCAAGGATTGCTATCTCATGACGAAAACTCAAATAACAATTAAAAATGTTTAGGAAAGCATTAGAAAGTTTAGATACGATGATAGAAACTTATTGTGCGATGTTTCTCAGAAAATAATAAAGGACTTTATTTACTCTTTTATTTATTGGAATACACAGGACATTCATCATTAGGAAACTGATTCATATATAAATAGTAGTATATATCTTCACAAGAACAATATATCAAAACATTCAACCATTTTTGTTAGATTTTGAAGATCTTTTGAATAACTTCAAATCATTTTCGTTTTACATATTTGATCATATTACATATATTACCTATAACTATCTATTTATTTATTGTGTTCATGGAGGCAGGAAATATTTCTGAATAGGATAAAATTACTTCCTGTCCTTTTTGACATGTCATTTCCTATTTTAGATCCTTGAGTATTATTCCCAGGAATTTGGTGTAAATCTCCCTATTCTGGGTACTGTAATTTCAATCTTCTAACCTCAATTTTATAAACAAATTTAGAGTTACTGTAAAAAAAATAAAA